TGCACTGAGTAGATGGTTTTTAATTTAAAGTGATAATAACTCTTCGTTTCGGCCAAAAAATGAATTTTCCTGGAGTAAACAACAATTTTCCCATACTTACCAATGGTTAATGAATCCATTTTTACATTCAAAGTTAGTCCCTGGTTTTTTTCTAAAAAGTTTGGTTTTTTGTTAAAATCTCTTAAGAGATTTTAACAGAGTATAGCCATCAATGGAGGTCACGTGGTCTAAAGACAAGCTCAGATATCAGAATAATAGCTATAACTGCTGTTTTTGTGGTAAAACAGAATATAGTATATTTCTGTGAGTTATTCACAAATGTTTTTATTGTGAAATATAGATCTCATACGAAGAGTTATTATCCCTTTAATAGTACTGCATATGAGTTTCTAACACTGGTAACCTTCTACAACAGTCTTACCTCTGGTGGTTTCATGTTTAAAACTTTGGTGATCCTTCCTTGCATGATGAGAAAATGTGGGTTGTTGACGTTGAGCTGCACAGAGCGAAACAAGTCCTGGACTCTGATGTTATTTGCATTGCTGCCATTGATCAGATATTTATTACGCCCACCAACCACAACCTGCATAAGTTTTAAGGAAATTAGAAAGAGCAAATTCTAAATTACATTATTTATTTTCATCAAAAAGAATGACAACTATGTGAAAATGATTAAATTTTGTCTGCTTTTGCTAATTATAACATATTTTCTAAGAAAAAAAATGTAGCATTAGGCAAAAGTATTTCACTACAGCATAGGCCAAAGCAGAAGAAACAAACCTGTCTAGTCACAGTCAGCTCATCATACTGCTCATATCCAAGTGGACTTTGTTTTTTGTCACTGTTGTCAAAGATGATACTGACAGTAGCTTTGGTCACTCCAGCCTGACCATTTTTATAAACCAGTTCTTGAAGATTTGTGGCTCGGACCTGAGAAAAGATAAATTGTCATAATAGTATGTAAAAAAAATACTAAATAAGTAGTGCATGTCATGATCAAGAAGATATTTCATTTAAAGCCACTTTCACTCCTGGTCATTACATGCCTTAAAAAATTGATGCACTTGTCCTTCCAAGTTTAAGTAGTCTAAAGATTTGATATTGCACATCTCTATGCAATTACTAGTATTTCTTTAGTAAATAAAGTGTGTCCTAAATTTTATGAATCTGACATTAATTGAATAGATATCCGAACTGAAGAAGCTGTAGTATTACCATATCCCTGACCAAGTTTGTAATGCAATAACCTGGCAATAACAGTTACTACACATTGCACAAACTGAGCAGATAGAGTGATGTCAAAAGATTCCATATGACCTTATGAGGGGTAGAAGTGAACTGTCAACAGTAGAATATGCCAGTAGGGTGGAAAAAAACTCCAGTTGGACTTATATTAAAACACACTGCACTTCCAAATTTACAATCTAATGATTATTTTAAATTTATTTACCTGATCAAGTTTAGAAATTCCAAGTACAAAGCAAATGGAATCCAGAATGTTTGACTTTCCACTTCCATTCAAACCAGTGATGGCATTGAACTGCTCATCAAAGCCGGTGATTTCTGTACGCTGAGCGTAAGATTTAAACCCGTCTAACACGACTGATTTGATAAACATTATTCACGATTGAATGCAGTGTATATCAAAACAATTTATAAATAAATTCCATTAGATTATGTTTGTAAACAACAGTTTCTCGAAAACACCAAGTCCAAAACGTGGCGCCGAAAGATTCAGTTGGCTATTGATGCGCATGCGTGTATTTAAAATTACCCATAATTCTTTTGCACAATGGAAAGAAAATTGCAACCGATGTAACAACACGCGACCTGCGAATGGAACAGGCGTTTATTTGCTTCCCGTTCCATCTACAAAAAAGTACAATTTAGTGTTGCAGTGATGTGATGACAAATTCACAATCGACTCCGAAGAATATCAACAGTAAGAAATTATTTGAACATAATAATTTCAGGCGAAAGTACACTGACACGGTTCTAGAATACGGTGGATTTACATGCCTGTCTTTCCTTTTCCGAATGAAAGTCCTAGTTTAAATAACGTTAAATTTTTCGCAATTTCCTCAGTGTATTCTCTCAAGGATGTCTATATTATGACACGATATAACGGTTAATGTAGTTAACATCTAAGAAGCTAATTTTTTATATCAAGACTCGACACAAACTCGTTTTGTTAATACTTGTACTTAGAATGACAAATATTTCTGACAGAATTTTAAAGTTGTAATTAGGTATCAAGTTAGGAGAGAAACTGATTGAAACAATCTTTAAGTAAAGATGATCTCTGGTATATTCAAAATGAAGTTTCATTCAGTATTACTGATATTTCTATGAAGTTATTTGGACGTAAGAAATTAATTTCTCTTTTAGATGTCGGTTGCATTCAGCAGCAATGATGCTGATGTTATTCATAGAAATGTTGAGATAAACTTGAAATCTAAAAAGCCCACAGCTCTAGATCATTTGAATACTGTTTATGAAATACAGAGAAGTGCAGAATGGATAAAGAAAAATAAATTCAAGAAGGTATGAAATCTATAAATGCTCATATGAATTTGGTTAAGACTCTGAGTCAATATTTTATTCATTTAACTGTACATACTGTATTACAGTATGATATAAGTCATTATTACTAGTACTCTCATAGTTAAAGATTTATTTTCATGATTATGTAGTAATAATCATATTCTTGGATTTTTTTGAAGAACTAAAGCTTATAGTAACTTCGAAAAATATGTTATATTACAGGTTGCACTGCAATTTCCAGATGACTTACTGCTGGATTCCACAAATGTTGCCAAGTGTTTGGAAATTGAGACTGGAGAAAGGGTCTTCATTTTAGGAGATACTTCATATGGAAGGTATGTATTAGTTGAGGAAATGCCAGTGCATGCATGTGTTTATTTTGCACTGCTGAACCCCTGAAATGAAGTATTACTTGGACAACACATTTTTATGGTGTGATATACAATGTATGCTCCCCTTTTAATTTTTACCGTAAAACTTTCTCACATTATGTATTCATATTTTTTTCTTTCTTTCCAGTTGTTGTGTGGATGAGGTTGCAGCTCAGCACTATAGTGCAGACAGTGTTATCCACTATGGAAGGGCTTGCCTCAGTCCAGTCACAAGGTATCCAGTGCTATATGTATTTGGTAGAAAGGATATTGATGTCCAGCACTGCTGTGAACAGTTTCAGAAACTCTTCCCTGACTTGACACAACATGTGTTAGTGTTGTATGATGTCGTGTATAGTCATGCTATTGGTGAGTGACTGCTTCTTAATGCTCTTACTTCAATTTAAATGGATGTTGCATGTAAGAATTCTTTTTTTGTTAGAAAAGTCTATGTATTGGGCTCTTGAAGACCAATCTAGTCAGTTCATGAATTCATACTGTTTTCCCCTTTGAAATAGTGCCTTGGCATCTTAAGTTACTATTTCCAATGTGTTTTAGTTAAGCAGTGTTTATCAATTAATGTGTCCATTTTTCCCTAGGTGACCTAAAGTCAAGACTGCAAGGTTCTTATTGCAATGTCCTGATATCTGAACTCAATACCACAGAAAAAACTGGTGAAGGTGTATCCAATGTTCAGGCAAACTCCAACACTCAAGAGTTGTTTGGAAGAACAGTCATCATTCCAATAGAGAAAACTATAAAGGATTACAAAGTTTTTTATATTGGTGCTGAAAGTTTTGCTTTGACTAATTTTATAATGACATTAAATCAGTGCACATTTTACTCATACAATCCAGAGACTAGTATAGATAGGGAGGAGAGTTTGAGTGTCAACAGGGCCATTATGAAAAGATACTACATGATAGAAAAAGCAAAGGATGCCAAAATTGTTGGAATTGTAGCTGGCACTCTAGGAATTGCAGATTATTTAACAGTCATATCAAGGTTGAAAGAGATTACGAAAAAGGCAGGAAAGAAAACGTACACATTTGTTATGGGAAAATTGAATCCTGCAAAGATGGCCAACTTCATGGAGATTGATGTGTTTGTCCTGGTGGCCTGTCCTGAGAACAGCTTACTGGACTCCTCAGAGTTCTACAAGCCCATAGTGACGCCATTTGAGATGGAAATTGCTTGCAATCAAGCAAGAGAATGGACAGGAGAATACATAACAGATTTTAGGAAATTGCTACCAGGTAAAAGTTTTGGAAATTAATTTATCAAGTAATTTGCACAAAAGAACTGCTTTTATATGCTAGGTATTATAAGAAAATCAATCAAAATCCGAGTTCTTAAAATTAGGTTAATTAACAACTGTACACTACTTCAAAAACTTTTGGTTAAGAGGATGCCATTGATATTTAAACAGGTTCCACACATTTTGTTGAGATGTCAGAAGCATCCCAACAGCAGGAAGTCTCCTTGTTGACAGGTGCCATGAGGAGCATAGGAACTGATGACACAGCAGACGACAGTGAGGCCTCAAGTACAGCAGTCATGAAGAGAGATGATGCACTGACTGTAGCCAATGCCTCAACTGCAGGTAACTAGTTTGAGCCTCATCCTGGAAGGGGTAGGAGGGGATCTGCTAAAGGTTTTTTTTTTTCCTTTTAATTTAAATAATTAATAGCAGTATTCAATATGCTTTGGTACCATTCTTAACTTTCAAATAGTATCATGATGTTAACAATGCTTTGTCTTTCTGAGCAGGGAAATTTAAACAATAAATAGTAGTCTTCAATATGCTTTGGTACCATTCTTAACTTTCGAATAGTAGCATGATTTTAACAATGCTTTTTCTTTCTGAGCAGGGGATTTTTTGGCATCCCGCTCTTGGCAGGGACTAGAGCAGAACTTAGGGCAAACTCCAGTGACTAAAGCAGTAGAAGGGATTAAAGGAATTGCATCAGGATACACACATGAACAGAAAACAGAAAAACAGCTGAATGAGAAATTGGATCTAGACTTTTAATATATGTGTGGATATTTAAATGCATCATGGAAGCTTGCAAAAAGGCAAATGTGAAAAAAAAGCTGTTTATTCATATTTTCAGCACATATGTTTACAACAAAGAAAATATTTTTAATGTGTTGTGTGCAATAGTTATGGAAAAATATCCCTACATTTACTACAACTAAGCACTTTAAAAGGAATGTGGTTACTTGGAACATGTGCTATAGCATGAAAAATGTCTCTAAATAGAGCCAGCTGTTCAAACTCTAACATTAACCATTAAATTTTTGTTTTGGTTCAAGTTGTACAATTTATGTACAACACAGGTTAAATTACCAACAATTCACCAATAGTTTTGCCTTTCATCATTTACAGTAGTAGGATGTAGCCAAGAATGAGGAATTTTCAGTGAACAATAATAATCTGACAGCAAATGAAGCTCTGTGCCATACAATTTTGTGACATTTTTAAAGGATGCATTTTAAAATAAACACTATTCATACAAAAGCTAAAGCTGTAAGTCTTTTATTAGTTCTTCTGCTCTATCACAGTTCCATCCTTTGCCTTTCAATGGTCCTTTCACAGCATTAATATAGAGCTGTAATGCATTTTGTCCTATTTCTCTTGCCCTGAATTGATCACTTTCATTAGATGTATGGTTCTGGGAAAATTCTGCATACCAGTGACACATCTCTCCAGCATACATCAGGGCTAATAAATGAGTGTCACTAAATATTCCTGAAATGGTAGGAAATGTGCAAAGAAGACATCTTAAAAATATCACAATACGATATATTTTTATTGAATTTCCATATTTAAACCACATTTTAAAAAAAGCTGCCCACTATAAACAATGAGCATTCCTGCATACTTCTTTTTGAAATTAAAATTTTAAAGTGGTATTTATTCAAAATTACAATAATATAGTATTACAGTAATATACCACGGTCTCTATCCCTTTCACTGCATATTATTCATGTGAAAAATCAAAGACCTTACCTTTGCTTAATAGCTCCATAGTGTCATTATCATTAAATACTACATTAGCACCATTTTCCACTGGAGCACGGACTCTAAGCATAGACTGCAGATAGCCCACTCCTTTTTTCACATTCTAAAACAAACGCACCAAATAGCATTTAAGCATTATCAAAGAGATATCAAAATGTGGATAATAAAGTATTTTCATAATTAAACATAACAAGATAGTGAATGTTCCTTCATCAAGGCTGCTATGTTTTGGATCCTGTGGTAAGTGTAATCAAACTGGTGCAAAGATGCTAAGAACTTCCTACCTTTAGAAATGTGTCTCCATTCTTCTCTCTGCGGTCTTTTTCTTCATTAATTGTAAAACAATACATGTATAAAAGTGCACCTTTTCTCCAATATATGCATTCTGTCAGTTCTTCTCCTAATATTGCAGCTATCTAAAAGTTAAAGAAAACATAATTTTCAAATTATCTAAAACAGTTTTGCTCTTCTTTTCAAAGAAAAATGCAAAGTTGCAAACAATATCTTAAGTCTAAATATTATCATTACAACAATCCTAACATCTTTTATAATTTTATTACTATTGTAAGAAGCAGAATTATTTTGCTTTTACCTCTTCAGCGTTCCTGTTATGAAGATCCACAGTTTGTAGAGCACCATCTAGCTCTCCTGAAATTTGAATTTAGTCATCTTCATTAAATGGAAGTAAAGCCACTGAAATAGTAAAAGCCCACATACTGGATTTAGTTTCACCTTGTCATACAAATTGATACAATTAAGAATCACAATGCCCTAACAAATGTTGAAGTATTTATCATATGTATATAGTTCAAACTATAAAGATCAAAATCCAGAAAAGAGATCATTCTTTTTGTATTTAAAGTTATGCTTGATATATGCTAAATTTTATATTTGAAATAAACCTAAAATGTCCTGGAGTCTGGCTTCAGCTGTTGCAGCTGGAAAGTCTTCATCGACAAGCTTGCTTTCTTTATAAAATGTATAATCCAGTACAGCCTAGGAATATAATAACAAAACAACAATTGTTGCAAAAGCAGGTCTCATGATATTATCCACACCAAAGTAGAACTTTGCAGATCAGTTATTTTTATGATTTGAGATAAGGGATATTATATTTCTTGTCCACCTGTTAAAGTATTCCCACTGCCCCTATATATAACCTCCACAACTAAATACAGTATATATTGCTTAAAATGCATAATTATGGAAATCAATACTTGTACCTACTTGAGTATAATTTTGAAGAAGCACATTGTAATCTTCGCTTCCAGCATCAATTCCTTGCAAACCCTGACCGCACTTTTCTTTTGCTTTTTGCAAAAATATATCACCTAAAATGTAACATTCATCTGCATAATAAATAATTTAACGAATCCAACCACCCTCCCAAGCTCTACAATTTGCAACTGCTATTATGAGCGATACACTTAAAGACATAACTACAGCAGCTTAACAATAAAAAACTAAGTTTACCTTGGGATTCAGAGTACAACTTGTCAATCTTTTGACTAAGAACTTGGAAGGTTTCTTTCAATCCCGATGCATTCCCTAGCAGCCGCGCTTCGGTATTGCACTCCGCCATTTTGAACAAGTCACATGATGAAATTTGTTCGACTAAATACAAGATGGATTGTCCTTTACATGGAATAAAATAGATAATATTATTGTTGTTATTTTTAGTTTTTTGCAAATCAGTTTGGAAGAAATAATCCTTTTCAGATAAAAATCCTAATCATTATCACCGTATTGGGTAACTTCTAGAATAGAGTTCAATCTTAATCGCTTTTATCACATATTTCGGGTTAATCTCGAGCAAACTCTCAAAAAATGGCGCCCTCCATGCGGCGGGAGGACGGAATGTGAAAGCTATTAATTAGGGTGCTTTGTTCGATTGCAGTTGTTTCTTTCGGTGAGTTTTACGCTTATATATTGATTTAACAATGAAAGAAAGTATGTGATGGCTGATTATCACCTATCAGCCTTTGAAGATATTGAAAAACTGCGTGGCGACACAGTGACAGTCGTTGTTACACTAGTGGATCTGTTGGGGCCGTAGCGATAGTCCGAAGGTTCAATAGTCCGAAGGTTCATTGGTCCGAATGTTCACTATAGAACCTTCGGACCAATGAACCCTTGATTAAAAAATCGATAAAAATGTTACCACTTTTCGGACCAATGAACCTTCGGACCAATGAACCTTCGGACTATCGAGACGCCCCCGATCTGTTGTGTGTAGAAAAATTCATCTTAATTGTCATCTTGTCCAGAACGTGTAAGTGACCAAAAAAATGGGGTTTGTGACCTCAATTAAACTAGCCACTCTTTATTCCTGTTGATGAATTTTTTCTAAGTGAATCCCATGGTTCTTCAGACTCGGTGTCTGTTTTAAAAATTATGCACTTTTGCAGTACATTGTCCTTAATCAAGCACACTTGTAACTTGCATCTATTTTCCTCAATTTCCGCCCAAGATACAAGTAAGTGCCTAGCATGTCAGACAGAAAATAGGCAAATTGTCATGTGATTAAATCAATGATAGAAAGACTGACCTATTTCTCCCCCCCCCCCCCATCTTGAATTGCAGTGAGTGCAATTAAGATATTGATGGAGGATGTAGAACTGACATCTCCCAACCTCTCACTGTATGACATCACTTGTGTAATATGACATTAATTTAGAATCACAAAGTAGGAACAGCCATTTGGTTGATAAATTTCAATTTTCAATCTTTTTTCTTTCAGATAGCAGGTCTTAAGTTTTTGAGCATTTCTGTTAGGAAGCACCATGTCTTCATCTTTTCTGGGTAATCAAACCTTGTCTCAAGCCAGCCTGGCTGATGCAGTGGAATCAGCTGCTGGCATAGTTGACAGACAACTACTGGCAGATAAAAGACATGGTGATCTCACAGACCTTCTCAAAGTGCAATCTCACAGTAAGTATAATGCTTTTTTAAAGATTCTTTTGTTGACGATAATTGATTTTTTGAATATTGAATTATATTCATCAGTTGAATTGTTCAGTTCAAATTAAATGTTAATGTTTTTATCATTTAGAAAGATGATTGTGAAGTCAACAAATGTAATCATTACGGTCTTTTTTTATTTATAAGCTATCATGACACGTCTTTTTATATGACCTTAAAGTATTCATTTATTTATTTGCTAGAACTGCCTACAGCCAGTGGGTTAAATGACTATGACTATCCAAGCATCACAGATACCAGAGCTGGTCTCGTTTCACTTCCTGAACTTAGCACAGTCAAAAGAGTTCCTTTGCCTCCTGAGCTGGTGGAACAGTTCGGACGTATCCTACAGTTGAATCTGTAGCTTCAAATGTGTTTATATGCTAGGCTTGTTAATTGGTATATATTAAAATGTTATCATACAATTCCTAATTATGAACACTGAATGACTGAACTATAACTTGAGCAAAATCTATATTATTGTCAACTGCTAATTTTAAGCAAACTTAGAGAATACCTCATATATATTATGAAAAATTACTGTATTACTATGCTATAAAATTAAGGTGTAAATGTCAAAAGCTTAGGCTGCTTTTCCTTAACATTCCCCCAGATATGCAGTGTAACTGTATGATGGGTCTGTTCCCAGAAATCAGCAGAGCCTGGCTGTCCATAGACAGTGATATATTTGTATGGAACTATGAACATGGGTAAAGTATTTGAACTTTTTATAACAAATATGAATTTGAATAATAGATCTGTATTTTTTTTCTGTCTCCTATTTAGAAGCAGATTATTATATGAGATTTTTATCAGTCACAGAAGCAAGTTTTATATTCCAAACCATAATTGTGACACTGTTTGTTACAGGGGTGATCTTGCCTATTTTGATGGTTTGAATGAAACCATTCTCAGTGCAGGTCTTGTTAAACCAAAGCCAGGTAAGGAAGTGCTGAATTCAGGGAGTTTGTTGTGTTTGTGTAAACGGTAGATTAAATTGAATCTGACATTCCGCCTGAGAAGATATTCACTTGTATCTCAGAGTTGTAAACAGGATATATTGTGCTAATTGAACAAAAAAAAAGCAACACATATTTGAGATACACTCCATTGCAGATAATTTATTTGATGTTTCTCACAGGAATATTCCAGCCTCACATCCACTACCTCCTGTGTCTGACAACGCCAGTGGACATTGTTCTACTTGGTGTCAGTTTTTCAAGTCCACATCTAGGTGAGTATATCCTTATCATACATAGTTAATCTGTATTAATGCAAGTTTGTGAAACTTTAATCTGTTATTGCTGTACCTAGAATTTTTTTTTTACTAGAAATTTTCCCATTGATTGATTATCTTCAGAATTTTTTCTATTAACAAAGGCTTTGTGATAGAAATGGACTTCCATTTGGGCTTTTTTTGATATAAACTTTGACATGAATTAATTCCAGATCCAATCACAGACCCAGGTTTCGGGGAGATGCACCTCCTCCCTGATCCTCTGTTCACTGTCCCCACAGACAACACCTACATCCTGAGTATCTCTGGCACAGAGAGTGGAAGGATCTTCATGACAGGAAAAGATGGCTGCCTCTATGAATTGGCATACCAGGTATTTTTAAGCTTGCTACTTCAAAGCATATTGATGATAATAATAATAAACATAAATGTTTGTATGACATGCATTTTAGTTAGATTATGCCTCGCAACATTTTCATCACATTTTAAGGTGAAAGGGTTTGAACTGTATTTGGAATTCAAAGTGGTTTAGCAACTTGAAGTTCTTTTTGCATGGACATTTTCTGATGTATATCTTGTGTTTTGTCTTTCCATTATTCAGGCTGAGGATGGCTGGTTCAGTCGAAGATGCAGGAAGATCAACCATTCTACAAGCTCTCTGTCCTTCCTGGTGCCATCATTTTTAAACTTCTCATTTGCTGAAGATGGTGAGTTGATGAGTTGACCCATTGTATTGACCTTAGAAATATCTAAAGCCTTTGGTAATATTATGTTAGCAGGAGATGCCATGCTGCATGTTCCTTGTCCATTTATGTGGGCTTTTTTATTCATTTATTTTTTTATTTGAATTTGAATTTTTATCAATTTATTTATTTGTGGAAAAAGGATTTTATATATTATAGTGTGTGAAAAATTGATTATTTGAAGGTAAAGATATGGTACAGTGAAAAAACTTTTCAGTTAATTCCATTAATTTGTTTATTCCAGATCCACTTATCCAAATCAGTATAGATGAGAGCAGACATATTCTATATACAAGATCAGAAAAAGGCACTATTCAGGTCAGAGAAAGTTAACAATGTCAGCTTAATGAATTTTTTAAGTTTCAATACTGTATTGTGAGTAATTTTTAGTAAACATTTTTTATTGAAACAACATTGTTTTTATGGGAACAAACCATGAACTTGGGATATGATTGCAGGTGTTTGACTTGGGAGAGGATGGCCAGGGAATGAGCAGAGTTGCCGCAATCACACAGACAACTATTTTACAGAATGCTGCCTTGGTAGCTAGGTAAGTGGACATTTTTTCACCCATTTCCTGCTGTCAGCCTATGAGAGGAAGATAAAGTGTTGTTAGCCAAATCAAAATGATCTGGGCCCTGTAACACGAAAGCATCGTGTATGGCAACCTAGCACAAGCATCTCCATTCCATTACTCGACAATACTCGCCCCATATAATACATTGTAGCCTCTATGTGATATCGCTATTTGCAATATGCGATGCTTTTGCGTTACGGGTCCCTGTTTTCCGTCTTAGGTAACTCTTATTAAGTTTTTTATGGACCTAACTTACCCCATGCAAAATTATACATCATAATTTGAAATATTTTCAATGCAGTCTTTAATCTGTAACATGGATTTTCTAATATGATGCATGTTTTTTTCTCCCATTTATTTCAGAACAATTGATCGTTCAAATTTTAAACCTATAATCCACATAGCAGCTGTCACAAGAAATGAGTCAACAAATGTCCATCTAATTGCTGTCACACATACAGGTAGATTTTATGTCTGTTTTGTTCTTTGTCACTAAGTAATCAATTTTTTATGGCAACAGCATCATTGTCACAAATATATGGATGAACTGCAGTATATTGTATCTAATGTATATTGATGTTAATTTATTGTCATGTGACTCATGTTACTACGTGATACTTCTCTTATATTGTTTATCTTATTTATTATTCATTTCTATGCTTTTGACAAATCACGAACACACAAATATTTGTATTGAAAATTTCAGGTGTAAGGTTGTATTTCACCACCTGTTACTTTGGTGAGACACGTAGTCGCCCAAGTATGCTTTCACTCCTTCATGTACGCCTGCCTCCTGGATTCTCTGCCATTTCTACACAGCAAAGACCAACAAACTCTCACATGGCACATTATAAAAGAGGTCAGATTTTGTTTTCTGCTGAGGAAAGAGAACATTTGTAGTCAATGCATACTTGATTTTATTATTAAAATAATTATGTTAAAATATTGAGATATGTTAAGTTACAATATGCCTATTTATTCATATTGATATTCTCACTATTAACATATTTTGTCGCTATTTAGAAGTCATTTTATTAAATGTCATCTAGAAATTTGTTTACAATCACTTTCAAGCCACTGTTGTTTATCAGTGTGGTCATTTTATTCCCTTCTGTGATGGATGAATATAATATGACAACTTTTCCAATAGGAACGCTTCTCCTGGCAGCCTCCCAGTCTGAGGATAATGACCTGTTGTGGGCCCTCAGTCCAGACACCTTTCCTTTCCAATCCCAGCTGATGGAAACTACTGCCTCTGCCCCTATTGATGGCAGGACCTGGGCTATATGTGAGGTCCCCCTCCCCCTGTATGGGCTAGGGGTACCCAGTGATCCCCTGGGTATGCCTACCATTGACCCCCCTCTGGTAGTCACACAACACATGGAACCTGTGAGGAGATTTGTGCTGCTAACTGCTCAGGTATAGCAATCTGGGTGAAAAATTTTCAGGATTATGCCTGGTTTCAGCATTTTTGGTCCTCATTTTGATAGAGCTATTTTTTCATATGGTTTAAATGCAATGAGACATTATAGCCTAGGTTTTCAGGATTTTTAGTTTTTACAGCTTTCACCCATGAATCTGTGATATATGGTGAATGATATTAAAGAAAATTATATTCAAATTATTGTACAGATTATTTATTTGTAAGAAATCATATAATAGCTTGAGGTTTTATCATTTTATGTCTAGTTTTGGTTTTAAGGTTGAGTAAAGATGTGTAAAATTATTTTGATAATGGTAAGCATATGGTGAGCATAAATTATTTCATAAGAAAAATGCAGTTAAAATTTTTTCTCTATTTCTTATACTTTGTTAAATATAAACTAGATACAAAAATGAGCTGGACTGACTTTCTTTGATTACTTAGGGAAGCCATCTAATGAACAAGCTACGTCCAGTTGACCAGTTGAGACAGCTGTTGTTAAATAACAATGGACCAGACTCTGAAGAAGTCAAGGCTTTCTTTAAACTACACAGGGTAAGTGATTTTTACAACCAAAACACATGGATGAAAATCTATATTGTATTTTGTAGATAGCATTTTGTACTATTTAAAAATGCTTTATGAATACATGTTCACCTTTACCTATATTTCCAGGCTGACCAGGCTTGTGCTACATGCCTCATCTTAGCCTGCTCCAAGCTTGCTGTTGACAAACAGGTAGGATTTATTTTTGTGAAACTTTTTTAAGTGCCTGGAATATTTGCTTGGTGCAAGAAGTCAAAATGTGAAAACCAATGATATATATATATATATATTTTTAATCCTTATATGAATATATCTGAAATAATCAGAATATTGCTTTGCAGTTCTTAATGCAAAGGATGTACATGTATTCATGGTAAATAGATCATAATGATTTCTTTGTTGGCATAACTTTTCTACAGTTTATCTTTATTTATTTATTTTTGTAAATATTAAATGTTGTTACCTCCAGGTTGCAGACTGGGCTGCAAGGGCATTTTTCCTGTATGGGGGAGAAGCCCAGTACAGTATAGGGGGAAATCCACCACCAAGCAATATAGGACCCACTTTCCATGGCAACACTAGCACTATAGGTTAGTATAAGCTAGTGTCTTATATAGTAGTTGTAAAGTAGTTTCAAGGGCCTTTTCAGCTCATGACATTATGCATTCATTATGCATTCATTATGCTATTATCATGGTAGTTAGAAAGTTTAATTCATTGGGACTCCCCTATAGTGTTGCTTTTTTAGTTAGATTTGTTAATTCATTGGGTCTCCCATGTACTGTTGCTTTTTAGAATGATGCAACAACATGCATTTTTTGTCATAATCCAATATTTTTTCTTCTAGTTTCTTCTAATTTCATTCAAGATGAATTATGAGAATTTTACCAAATATTTGCATTACACATTAAGCCTTATGTGTGTATGTTGCACAATAAATGGGTTGTTTGAGCTTTTACCATGCTGTGTTAACAGGCACTAGTGGCTTTGCTTCCCCGGGCCCCGGACAGACAAGCTTTAGTGGTTTCACAACTCCTGCACCAGGTAGGCATGCATGCTGCTGTTTATGTGTGGCTAATGCACTTATTGATCATCTTAACAGTGCTTAAAGTTTAGCATTTCTTTTATGGCAACAAACTCTGCAGCTTTAGAGCAGATGGGTTTGTTTCCAGTCTCATCAATGTAAGCAGATTTTTTTTAGTGCCTTGTGCTAATTCATGATCTTTTTGTCTTACCTAGGGATGCACCCTAATCAGATGTCTACACCTATCACAAGTGGTTTTGGTCAACAACAACAACAACAACAGCAACAACAACAACAGCAGCAGTCAACATTCACCAGTGGTTTGGCTCATGAAATGATGTTCTCTGGTAAACATGATGGCCTGTGTCTGTATGTGGGGAGAATTGTACGGTAAGATTCCATAAAAAGTGACTTGGCATTTCTCAATCCTGTAAAATTGGGTGCAATGAATTATTCTTTTGGTTGTAGTATGGGTTTATCCCCAAGATTCAGTGCCTTGAATAAATCAGTGTATATGTATATGAACTGATAGCAAGTTCTGCATGAAATCTTTGAAAGATGTAGTAGTCAGATGTGTGCCGTTTTCTCAAAAAACATTTTTTTGGTGGCATATATATATATATATTTAACAGTTTTTTAAATTATTGCTGGGTTCTTTTTTGCAGACCCCTCTGGGACTATAGGGTAGTCAACACTTTCACAGTTCAAGGCAAGCAAGGACAGAAAGAAATTGTAAGTGTTATTTGGTTGTCTCATTAAACACTAGAATTCACAAAAAAAGTAGTGTGTTCGACAATGTCAGACATGTAATGAATAGTTTAATATTACCCCTGCAACGTGAGCCTTTTATTATATGTTTATGTCGTTAATACAAAATAAAAGGTCTACGTCTTATACTATAGAGAAGTTATGTTCCTATCTTCCAGATTGGCAGTCGCCTGAGCAGTGAAGACCTGGGTTGGTTTACGGAGCAGTTGTCAGATCTCAATGATTTCATCCAGGCACATTCACAATTCACCATTCCCGTCATGACAGACAGGTAAATTTTATTTGAAAAGAGAAAAATTCCAGTTTCTTCCAGTGAATAGCAAGTTGGTGTCAGTTATTTATATAGAGTTTGTTAATAAAAATGTAATGAAAATGAGTTAAAACAATTTTTTCTTAATTTTTAAAGATTGAATTTTCAGTTGCTTTTACAACTGAAAATCCACAATGTGTATCTTGCTGTGAAGCATGTAGTATGCTTCTAAAAGATTATGAATATGCTTTAAAGTTGCATTTTTTTAAAGAAATGATATAATGAATTCCTTTATGGTGCATTACTTAAAAAATAATAGTGTCTCACAAAATATCTGGAATAATTTGGTGTGTTNACCGAATCCAACCACCCTCCCAAGATCTACATTTGCAACTGCTATTCTGAGCGATACGCTTAAAGATACAACTACAGTAGCTTAAAAATAAAAAACTAAGTTTACCTTGGGATTCAGAGTACAACTTGTCAATCTTTTGACTAAGAACTTGGAAGGTTTCTTTCAATCCCGATGCATTCCCTAGCAGCCGCGCTTCGGTATTGCACTCCGCCATTTTGAACAAGTCACATGATGAAATTTGTTCGACTAAATACAAGATGGATTGTCCTTTACATGGAATAAAATATATGATATTATTGTTGTAATTTTTAGTTTTTCGCAAAACAGTTTGGAAGAAATAATCCTTTTTTAGATAAAAAATCCTAATCATTATCACCGTATCAGCAACTACTAGATTTGACTTCAATCTTAATCGCTTTTATCACATATTTCGGGTTAATCTCAAGCAAACTCTCAAAAAATGGCGCCCTCCATGCGGCGGGAGGATGGAATGTGAAAGCTATTAATTAAGGTGCTTTGTTCGATTGCAGTTGTTTCTTTCGGTGAGTTTTACGCTTATATATTGATTTAACAATGAAAGAAAGTATGTGATGGCTGATTATCACCAATCAGCCTTTGAAAATATTGAAAAACCGCCTGACGACACAGTGACAGTCGTTGTCACACTTGTAGATCTGTTCTGTAGAAAAATTCATCTTAATTGTCATCTTGTCCAGAACGTGTAAGTGACCCAAAAATGGGGTTTGTGACCTCAATTAAACTACCCACTCTTTATTTCTGTTGATGAATTTTTCTAAGTGAATCCCATGGTTCTTCAGACTCAGTGTCTGTTTTAAAAATTATGCACTTTTGCAGTACATTGTCCTTAATCAAGCACACGTGTAACTTGTATACCTATCTATTTTCCTCAATTTCTGCCCAAGGTACAAGTAAGTGCCTAGCATGTCAGACCAAAAATAGGCAAATTTTTATATGATTGAAAATGATAGAAAGACTGACCTCAATCTTTCCCCAGTCTTGAATTGCAGTGAGTGCAATTACTAAGTAAGATATTAATGGAGGATGTAGAACTGACATCTCCCAACCTCACTGTATGACATCACTTGTGAATCATTACAAAGTAAGAACAGCCATTTGGTTGATAAATTACAATTTTCAATTTTTTTTCTTTCAGATAGCAGGTCTTAAAATTTTGAGCATTTCTGTTTGAAAGCAACATGTCCTCATCATTTCTGGGTAATCAAACCTTGTCTCAAGCCAGCCTGGCTGATGCAGTGGAATCAGCTGCTGGCATAGTTGACAGACAACTACTAGCAGATAAAAGACATGGTGATCTCACAGACTTACTCAAAGTGCAATCTCACAGTAAGTATAGTGCTTTTTAAAAGATTCTTTTGTTGGTGATAATTGATTTTTTGAATATTGGATTATATTTATCAATTGAAATGTTCAGTTCAAATTAAATGCTGTTATTGTTTTTATTATCCAGAAAGATGGTTGTGAATTCAACTAGTGTAAACATCACAGCCATTTTCTTTTTCAGTTTATAAGGTATCATGATACTGCTTTTTATTTGAATTTAAAATCTTCATTTCTATATTTTCTAGAACTGCCTACAGCTAGTGGGTTAAATGACTATGACTATCCAAGCATCACAGATACCAGAGCTGGTCTCGTTTCACTTCCTGAACTTAGCACAGTCAAAAGAGTTCCTTTGCCTCCTGAGCTGGTGGAACAGTTTGGACGTATCCTTCAGTTGAATCTAAAGCTTTAAATGTGTTTATCTGCTCAGCTTATGAATTAGTATATTAAAATACTATCATACACTTCCTAATTATGAACACTGAAAGATTGGACTATAACTTGAGCAAAATCTATAATATTATTGTCAACTTCTAATTTAAGCAAACTTAGAGAATACCTCATATATATTATGAAAAATAACTATATTACTTTGCTATAAAATTAAGGTGTAAATGTTAAAAGCTTTGGCTGGTTTTCCTTAACATTCCCCCAGATATGCAGTGTAACTGTATGATGGGTCTGTTCCCAGAAATCAGCAGAGCCTGGCTGTCCATAGACAGTGATATATTTGTATGGAACTATGAACATGGGTAAGTTACTTAAGTTCTCTATAACAGATATGTATTTGAAGAAAAACTTTCATTTTTTATCTTTTCCTACTTCGAAGGATATCATAATATGAGGTTTTTGTCAGTCACAGATGCAATTTTTATATTTCAAACCATAATTGTGACACTGTTTGTTACAGGGGTGATCTTGCCTATTTTGATGGTTTGAATGAAACCATTCTCAGTGCAGGTCTTGTTAAACCAAAGCAAGGTAAGGAAGTGCTGAATTCAGGGAGTTTGTTATGTTTGTGTAAACAGCAGATTAAATGGAATCTGACATTCCACCTGGGAAGATATTCACTTGTATCTCAGGGATGTAAACAGGATGTATTGTACTAATAGAATAAAAAAAGCAACTCGTATTTGAGATACCTTCCATTGCAAATCTATTTGATGTTTCTCACAGGAATATTCCAGCCTCACATCCACTACCTCCTGTGCCTGACCACACCAGTGGACATTGTCCTTCTTGGAGTTAGTTTTTCAAGTCCACATCTAGGTGAGTATATCCTTACCGTACACAGTAAATTTTTATAAATGTAAGTTTGTGAAACTATAATCTGTTATTGCTGTAACTAGAAATTTTGTTTTACTGGAAATTTTCCTACTGATTGACTATTTTCCAAATTCTTTAAATTCACAGAGGCTTTGTGATAGAAATTGACTTCCATTTGGGTTTTTTTATATAAACTGTGACATGAATTAATTCCAGATCCAATCACAGACCCAGGTTTTGGGGAGATGCACCTCCTCCCTGATCCTCTGTTTACTGTTCCCACAGACAACACCTACATCCTGAGTATCTCTGGCACAGAGAGTGGAAGGATCTTCATGACAGGAAAAGATGGCTGTCTCTATGAATTGGCATACCAGGTATTTTTAAGCTTGCTACTTCAAAGCATATTGATGATGATAATAATAATAATAAACATAAATGTTTGTATGACATGCATTTTAGTTAGATTATGCCTCGCAACATTTTCATCACATTTTAAGGTGAAAGGGTTTGAACTGTATTTAGAATTCAAAGTGGTTTAGCAACTTGAAGTTCTTTTTGCATGGACATTTTCTGATGTATATCTTGTGTTTTGTCTTTCCATTATTCAGGCTGAGGATGGCTGGTTTAGTCGAAGATGCAGGAAGATCAACCATTCTACAAGCTCTCTGTCCTTCCTGGTGCCATCATTTTTAAACTTCTCATTTGCTGAAGATGGTGAGTTGATGAGTTGACCTTAGAAATATCTTAAGCCTTTGGTAATATTATGTTAGCAAGAGAAGCCATGCTGCATGTTCCTTGTCCATTTATGTGGGCTTTTTTATTCATTTATTTTTTATTTGAATTTGAATTTTTATCAATTTATTTATTTGTGGAAAAAGGATTTTATATATTATAGTGTGTGAAAAATTGATTATTTGAAGGTAAAGATATGGTACAGTGAAAAAACTTTTTCGGTTAATTCCATTAATTTGTTTATTCCAGATCCACTTATCCAAATCAGTTTAGATGAGAGCAGACATATTCTATATACAAGATCAGAAAAAGGCACTATTCAGGTCAGAGAAAGTTAACAATGTCAGCTTAATGAATTTCTAAAGTTTCAATACTGTATTCTGAGTAATTTTTAGTAAACATTTTTTATTGAAACAACATTGTTTTTATGGGAAGAAACCATGAACTTGGGATATGATTGCAGGTGTTTGACTTGGGACAGGATGGCCAGGGAATGAGCAGAGTTGCTGCAATCACACAAACAACTATTTTACAGAATGCTGCCTTAGTAGCTAGGTAAGTGGGTGTGTTTTTTGCACCCATTTCCTCCTGTCAGCCTATGAGAGGAAGATAAAGTGTCTATAACCATATCAAAATGATCTGTTTTCTGTCTTGGGTAACTCTTTTTAAGTTTTTTATGAACCTAATTGAGCCCATGCAAAATTATACAGATCATAATTGGAAATATTTTCAATGCAGTCTTTAGTCTGTAACATGGATTTTCTAATATGAGGCATGTTTTTTTCTCCCATATATTTCAGAACAATTGATCGTTCAAATTTTAAACCTATAATCCACATAGCAGCTGTCACAAGAAATGAGTCAACAAATGTCCATCTAATTGCTGTCACGCATACAGGTAGAGTTTGGGTCTGCTTTGTTCTTTGTCACTAAGTAATCATTTTTTTATGGCAACAGCATCATTGTCACAAATATATGGATGAACTGCAATATATTGTATCTAATGTATATTGACGTTAATTTATTGTCATGTGACTCATGTTACTACGTGATACTTCTCTTATATTGTTTATCTTATTTATTATTCACTTCTATGCTTTTGACAAATCACGAACACACAAAGAAATATTTGTATTGAAAATTTCAGGTGTAAGGTTGTATTTCACCACCTGTTACTTTGGTGAGACACGTAGTCGCCCAAGTATGCTTTCACTCCTTCATGTACGCCTGCCTCCTGGATTTTCTGCCATTTCTACACAGCAAAGACCAACAAACTCTCACATGGCACATTATAAAAGAGGTTAGATTTTGTGTTTTTGCAAAGGAAAGAAAACATTTGTAGTTAATGCATACTTGATTTTAATATCAAAATAATCATGTTAAAATATTGAGATAAGGTAAAATTTACATATTTATTCATATTGCCATTCTCACTGTTAACATATTTTGTTGCTACTTAGAAGTCATTTTATTAAATGTCATCTAGTAATTTGTTCACAACCACTTTCAAGCCACTGTTGTTTATCAATGTATAACATTTTATTCCCAATATGTGATGGTTGAATATAAGATGACAACTTTTCCAATAGGAACCCTTCTCCTGGCAGCCTCCCAGTCTGAGGATAATGACCTGTTGTGGGCCCTCAGTCCAGACACCTTTCCTTTCCAATCCCAGCTGATGGAAACTACTGCCTCTGCCCCTATAGATGGCAGGACCTGGGCTATATGTGAGGTCCCCCTCCCCCTGTATGGACTAGGGGTACCCAGTGATCCCCTGGGTATGCCTACCATTGACCCCCCTCTGGTGGTCACACAACACATGGAACCTGTGAGGAGATTTGTGCTGCTAACTGCTCAGGTATAGTTAAGATGTATGGGTGAAACTTTTCAGGATTATGCCTGGTTTCAGGATTTTTGGTGCTCATTTTGATAGAGCTATTTTTTACATGGTTTAAATGCAATGAGACATTGCAACCTAGGTTTTCAGGATTTTCAGTTTTTACAGCTTTCACCCATGAATCTGTGATGTATAGGGAATGATATTAAAGAGAATTATATTTCAATGATTCTACAGATTATTTATTTGTCAGGAATCATATTATGAGATTTTATCATTTTATGGCTAGTTTTGGTTTCAAGGTTCAGTAAAGATGTATGAAATTATTTTGATGATGGTAAGCCTGCAGTGAGCATAAATTATTTCATAAGAAAAATGCAGTTGGAATTTCTTCTCTATTTCTTATACTTTGTTAAATACAAACTAGATACAAAAATGAGCTCTACTGATTTTCTTTGATTACTTAGGGAAGCCATCTAATGAACAAGCTACGTCCAGTTGACCAGTTGAGACAGCTGTTGTTAAATAACAATGGACCAGACTCTGAAGAAGTCAAGGCTTTCTTTAAACTACACAGGGTAAGCAGTTTAACAATCGCAACACTTGGATGAAAATCCATATTATATTTTGTATGTAGCATTTTGTGCTATCTAAAAATGCTTTATGAATATTTTAACCTTTTCCCAATATTTCCAGGCTGACCAGGCTTGTGCTACATGCCTCATCTTAGCCTGCTCCAAGCTTGCTGTTGACAAACAGGTAGGATTTATGAAACTTTGTTTAGAGACAAGAATATTTACTTGGTACAAGAAGTCAAAATGAGAAAACCAATGATATGTATATTTTAAATCCTTATCAGAATATATCTGAAATAATCAAAATATTGCTTTGCAGTTGTTAATACAAAGGATATAGATGTGTTCATGATAAATAGATCATAATGACTTCTTTGATGGCATAATTTTTCTACAGTGCATATTTAATTATTTATTTATTTATTTATTTATTTATTTATTTATTTATTTATTTATTTATTTATTTTTGTAAATATAAAATGTTGTTTACTACTAGGTTGCAGACTGGGCTGCAAGGGCATTTTTCCTGTATGGGGGAGAAGCCCAATACAGCCTAGGGGGAAATCCACCACCAAGCAATATAGGACCCACTTTCCATGGCAACACTAGCACTTTAGGTTAGTATAAGCTAGTACCTTATATAGTAGTTGTAAAGTAGTTTCAAAGGGCCTTTTCAGCTCATGACATTTTGCATTCATTATGCTATTATCATTGTTATTTGTAGTTAGAAAGGTTAATTCATTGTGACTCCCCTTTAGTCTTGCTTTTTTTAGTTAGATTGGTTAATTCATTGGGTCTCCCATGTAGTGTTGCTTTTTAGAATGATGCAACACCATGCATTTTTTGTCATAATCCAGTGATTTTTTTCTTCTAGCTTTGAATGTCAAAATGAATTATGAGAATTTAACCAAATATTTGCACTACATATTAAACCTTATGTGTGTATGTTGCACAATAAATGGTTTGTTTGAGCTTTTACCATGCTGTGTTAACAGGCACTAGTGGCTTTGCTTCCCCAGGCCCCGGACAGACAAGCTTTAGTGGTTTCACAACTCCTGCACCAGGTAGGCATGCATGCTGCTGTGTATGTGTGGCTAATACACTTATTGATCATCTTTACAGTGCTTGAAGTTTAGAAACTCTTTCATGGCAACAAACTCTGCAGCTTTGTTTGCAGTTTCAACAAAATCAATGTGCTTCTGATTTATAGAAAAACCCGAAAGCAGATTTTTAAAAATGCCTTGTGCTAATTCATGATCTTTTTGTCTTACCTAGGGATGCACCCTAATCAGATGTCTACACCTATCACAAGTGGTTTTGGTCAACAACCACAACAACAGCAACAACAACAACAGCAGCAGTCAACATTCACCAGTGGCTTGGCTCATGAAATGATGTTCTCTGGTAAACATGATGGCCTGTGTCTATATGTGGGGAGAATTGTACGGTAAGATTCCATAAAAAGTGACTTGGCATTTCTCAATCCTGTAAAATTGGGTGCAATGAATTATTCTTTTGGTTGTAGTATGGGTTTATCCCCATGATTCAGTGCCTTGAATAAATCAGTGTATATGTATATGAACTGATAGCAAGGTCTGCATGAAATCTTTGAAAGATGTAGTAGTCAGATGTGTGCCGTTTTCTCAAAAAAGAAAAATTTTGATGGCATATATATATATTTAACAGTTTTTTAAATTATTGCTGTGTTCTTTTTTGCAGACCCCTCTGGGACTATAGGGTAGTCAACACTTTCACAGTTCAAGGCAAGCAAGGACAGAAAGAAATTGTAAGTGTTATTTGGTTGTCTCATTAAACGCTAGAATTCACAAAAAAAGTAGTGTGTTCGACAATGTCAGACATGTAATGAATAGTTTAATATTACCCCTGCAATGTGAGCCTTTTATTATATGTTTATGTCGTTAATACAAAATAAAAGGTCTACGTCTTATACTATAGATAAGTTATGTTCCTATCTTCCAGATTGGCAGTCGCCTGAGCAGTGAAGACCTGGGTTGGTTTACGGAGCAGTTGTCAGATCTCAATGATTTCATCCAGGCACATTCACAATTCACCATTCCCGTCATGACAGACAGGTAAATTTTATTTGAAAAGAGAAAAATTCCAGTTTCTTCCAGTGAATAGCAAGTTGGTGTCAGTTATTTATATAGTTTGTTAATAAAAATGTAATGAAAATGAGTTAAAACAATTTTTTCTTAATTTTTAAAGATTGAATTTTCAATTGCTTTTACAACTGAGAATCCACAATGTGTATCTTGCTGTGAAGCATGTAGTATGCTTCTAAAAGATTATGAATATGCTTTAAAGTTGCATTTTTTTAAAGAAATGATATAATGAATTCCTTTATGGTGCATTACTTAAAAAATAATAGTGTCTCACAAAATATCTGGAATAATTTGGTGTGTTGTTTCCATTACAGCATGACCCCAGGGTTCACTCCAAGGGGTACCCTCCCCAGACCTGATGGTGCCATGGATGAGCAGGCCAGGCGCAGGTATCAAGGTGAGAATATGTGCATCATATATGGTTAAATGGATTTTATGTTTAAAATATCATTCTCAATTTAGGGCATTAAACTGAAATATGAAATGTTTGTTCAGTACTGCAGCAACATATGTGATTTACCATTTCAGAGTCGTAGTCGTATGTACTGGCATAAGAATAGTTCTAAATGAGTCTTGCTTCTTGGTTAACCCAGTTGACTACCACATACATGGCTACCATTTGTATGCTTAGAATCTTTTTCAGTAAGTTCAAAAACTGTTTTTCAATGACCTTTCTGTATTACGAAAATGCAGTGTGCCACTAAGGAGACACTGACTCCAATTCAAAATCTTATTGCTGTGTTTAGCTGAGCTGCAGACTCAAGAGAAGATATCCACACAACAGATGGAGCAGCTGATTGAGAGGATGTGTGAAGTCCTGGGGCTGTGGAAGATAGTGTGTGACCATCAGTTCCATGTGGTAGCAGGAGAATTAACACAAGTAGGGCTTTTTTGCAGTGTATTTGTTGATTATTTCAGTTGATGTTATGATTGCATTTCAAGGTATGGGAAGGAAATAGCTTTGACTCGTAAGTTCTACTGTACAAACCATTAAGAACATTTGGGTGACTTTTTCAGAGTGAGAAACTTATGAATTAGGTTCACATATTTTTTTTATTTTCTTTCTTGATTGCATTGTTTTTCTCTCCCCAGGACCAACAAAACCAGCTGAGGAGCATGACCTTTAAAAATTTTGTAGTACATGGGAAGGAGGTGAGTTCAGGGTGATGTGTTAGTAGGCTTAGGATTTCTATTTTCACCAAGTGCTAAGATTAGGCCCTGAAAGCCATTTTGTTCACATTTTTTATCATTTTGCCATCAACTTGCACCTGGAGGTTACTCTGGATTATTTAAAACGACTGTTTAATTGGCCTTGACCTAGATGGGCAAGCTGGTGATGTTGATATGCTACTTACAATTTTCAGATCTGTTGTGCTCTGATTAGCTGCTTAATCAAGCGTTACCTAGGAGACAATGCTACCACAGATGCGATCAGCAGTAAGCTCAGAGAAGTGTGTCCATCTTTGTACAGCACAGAAGATGCTGTTGCATCAAAAGTAAGATGGAAACATATATAGCCACGGCTATTTTTGCAGAAAAGTAATGTAATTTCATTGAATTAAAGAAGAAATACTATTTTGCAAAGTGTTTAAAAAATCTGTTCTGATTGAAAGTTAGCTATTTATTGCATCAATCATGACATATTACCAAGTGACATGTTTTAATTTTTCAAATAACACAGCCTCAATACTATTATCGCTAAGATTATGAATTGAAAACTTTGTAACATGAGCATTTTGTGTACTTCAGGCAAATGAACTACTTCAGTCAGCAAAAATCACTCAGAACAAGTATGAGAGAGATCGCCTGCTTAGAGAAGCTCTTCTGATGTATAAACAGATCCCACAGCAGTTGGACTTGCCTGTAGTGTGTGGACAGCTGAGCAGTGTAAGGTATGTTTGGACTTGCCTGTAGTCATAGAATGAGGTGAATATGAACTTTGTAGTAGCTAATGCCCAGATTTTGAATTGGCTGTTGATATAAGGCATAAAACCCCAGTACAGTCTATGACTGATAATTGTCCATATTGATATCATACCCTCATACTCGGTATGGTCACAACCTGGTGTGTTTACTGAGTAAGAACCTTCAATCTTTTAAAACAATGAACTCAGATTAAGAACTCCTTTATCCAGATATTGTTTTTTTGACTTGAATGATTTGTTAGTTATATTTTGTATTTCTATCATTAGGTACTATGATGGTATAGTGGACTTGTGTCTGACGGCTGCCAGTAAGAGGGACCCCCAGGGACTAGCACTTCATCACTATAAGAATGGTGCGCAGCCAGAGGACACACAGGGGTGGCAGGCTTTCAGTCTAAGGTGATGCTAAATTGAATTTTCTGAATTACACATTTTCATCTTATAACATGTTTAAATACTGAAAGTGGATTAGTTTGCAGATAAAACCTTCCATACATCTTCAAAAGATCAATTTCATCTTGCAAACTATAAAAATTAATTGCAATGTTGATATTTGTTTACAGGATGGACTGCTACAGGTGCATTACAGAGATGCTGAGTTACTTGTTGTCAACCAGTATGTCCCACCCTCAGGCCCCAAGTGTCCCCAGATCTCCCGGCCCCCCTCCAGCCCCCGACCCTCACAGGCTGACCAACACAGAGGCAGAGCAATATGTAAGGAGAAAGTTTAGATAAGAAACTGCAGTGCTTTCATAATTTTTACAAATTAGCAATTTAGTATCTGCCTTTATCATTTCACTCTGTTGTTATTGTTAGTTAAAACTAAACATATAGACAAGCATAATGGGGGTGGTGCCTTTTGGTCAGTAGGATATGCCCATACACATAATGCTACTCTATTTCATACTTCCAGACTGAGCAGGTATTCAAATTGTGCCTGAAATCAGAAGATGAAGTGTTCCATGTTGCATTATATGAGTGGCTCATAGCTGAGAATCTTACAGAGAAATTATTAGAGGTATGTGATCAAATATAGTTCAGATAAAAGGACAACTGAGATATATAGAATAAATATAATTATCGAATGTTTATGGACTTAAACGAAGAATGTGCGCAAGTTTACAGGGAATTTTCAAAATTATTTTCAGATTCTGTTATTATTTGGGTTTTACTTAGTGACACCAAAGACTGTTCAAAATTACAGCTTTCTGTTCCTCTCTTTCCCACGCCAGGTTCAATCCCCTTTCTTGGAGACTTACTTAAAGCAGACAGCCAACTACCAGCCAGACAACCTGGACACCCTGGATCTCCTGTGGAAATACTATGAGAAAACACGTAACTTCACTGCAGCTGCCAGGATACAAGCCAAGCTGGCAGAGAGAAGAGGGTGGGTGTGACATTTTTACCCATTTTTTTAAAAGATGTATTGTTATTTGTCAATATGCCAACATACTAAAAGCATGTTTAGCTTATTACTTTTGAAAGCAAAGAAAATAATTGAAGCAGCAGAACCAAAACAAAATCCATTATACATAAACCACCATTTTTATATCGCAGGACGGACATTCCTCTCCCACAGAGACTGGAATACTTGTCACGTGCAATCATGTGTGCTAAGAGCTCCAGCATGCGCACCAGCTCTGCAAATGAGGGTGAGTTTTTGCACGAGCTTGAAGAGAAGATGGAGGTGGCCAGGATACAACTGCAGGTGTTGGAGATGGTTTCCAAGTTGCCGTCACATCACACTGAGGACAGCATCTCCAGGCTGAACTCTGAACTCATGGACATTACAACAGTGAGTATGGTCTCCAGATATGTGCAGCATATAACTTCTAGCCCAATTCAGTTCTTTTATCTTAAAATTGTTCTTATCAGTATACTTTAATACACTTATTGTTTTCTTTAGTGGGTTTTTTCTAACTTGGTCTGATGTCATTTACAAAAAGTAGTGATTCATTTTTTTTTTCATTGACAAATTAAAAATGTTTAATTCCTTTTAACCCCAGCCAATAACAATACTGTTGTTTTCTATTCCAGCTTTATGGAGAGTTTGCAGAGCCATATGGTCTGGCTGAGTGTAAGCTAGCCATAGTCCATTGTGCTGGACATTATGACCCAACACTAGTGGAGTCCCTGTGGCAGGACATTGTGGATAAAGGTAGAGTTATACAACAGGACAGAAACAGCCCACCATTACATATCTCCTTAATTGAAGCGGGTGGGTTGAATGTTATGTAATGTCCATTTTCTTTTTTAATCGAGAAATTGTGAGACAGTGAAAAATATTAAGAAACCTGATTTGGTATTAGAGTTACCTACATTCATATACTTTTTTTTTTTTTTTCAGAATTTGAACACAGTCTGGCGTCTGCGCCTCAGACACGCATGGCCACTATAAGCAAGAAATTGGTGATACTTGGAAAGTTGTATGGTGCAACAGAAAGATACTTTCCATTAGGTATGGCTGTTTATAACATATCACTGCTATATCCATGTCCACAATGTTTATTTTGACATTTTGATTGTGGTTTAATAATAATAATAATAATAATTACATTGACGAAGCAGTGTAATAAAATTAAGACATTTTTGAAGAATCCTCCTTTTGAAAGTGGCAGTAAACTTTTTCTGTAATTGTTTTTTTGTACAGCTTTCCTGGTGAAATATTTGGAGAAGAAGAGCTGCGAGTATAGCTTTGACTCCAAGTGGGTGTTTACCACCTTACAGCAGATAGGTGTGTCCATGCCAAAGCTGCAAGAGGTTTATGACAGACTCTTCAAGTCAAAAGTAAGATATGAAACATATTTCCACGCTGTACTCTGTAAAATGCTGCAGTTATTGAGACATTATATATATATTACCAGGCTAGCATTTGATTTATGAAATGCATTCAAATATTATGAACTTCACATGTTATTGTGAGTTAGATGATATGTTTTTCATATGATCAAATCTTATATATACTATTTCTTTGAGTTTCTAGAATTCTTCTTGTTATATGACTTATCCTCTAGAGATAGAGCTTTGATACAGAAATTAATTTCATTGACCTTTTAAGGACCCCTACTGGCAGGCCATGAGGAAACCACTGCATCTGTTGACTGTGCTACGGTGCCTGGTGGAAAGCTATACAGATGCACCAAACACTGTGCCAGCATATGAAAGGTAAGAGAAGCGTGGATGTTTTCCTCCATCCTGGACTGTGCATTGCTCTTGAGACAAAATATAGACTATAAACTTCAGTTTGTATTTACTTATAAATACAAACTTTCAGTCCATTCAGGTGACATTTTTCAGTCAAGTGTAGTACCATTTTTAGATTCCATCCATATTCACAAAAATGGTTCAAATATTGCACACGAGGTGAATTTTAATCTGATCAAGCAAAAATCATGGAGTCATAGATGAAAAGGGCAGTTTTCAAGGTAGGTATGTTTTGCTCTTTGATGTATAATAAGACAATCTGTTGTAGTTTTTATTCATTTTTATTTCTTCAGGCGTGCCTTCACCACTACCTGCCTGGACAATGTGGCAGCCTACCTGGTTGAGTTACAGTCCATTGTTGGGGGAGACACCACAGTGAGGACTCTCATTGCAGAATTCAAAGGGGTCCAGGCAAAACTAGAAAGACTACAATGTTAAATCTATTGTTCGTAATATCTATGGAAAATGAAACTATTTAAATTGTAAACAGAGATCAGAGAACTGGGAAACAACAATAGTGATTGTGTTACCAGGGTTAAAGCAAAATTAACAAATATTATGGTTTTTCTATCATTCACAATAGAAATGCTCCCAAAACCAGGAAGTTGATTGTCAAGAATGCTTAGAACATGTGAAGTACATGGTTTGGCCTCCCTGCTGTGAATATACAGAGAATGGATCTGTGTGTTACACACAGCCACTGTGATGATTTTGGAAAATGTCGATTTGAACAAATTGGCTAGTGTTTCCAGACATTTCTGTATGTATGGTAGCATTATTGGAAACAATGATACTAAACATTCATTTCTACATCTTTATGAGTATACTTAACTGTCTATAAATTGACAATGAGATGCTTTTCTAAATGTAATTCTTAATGGCAAAATCAAGTGTTTTGTTTTATTTTTCTAGATTGAAAAGCTTATGAAATTCAGCAATATCCAAGCTTTAACAAATGATACGTACTTTTGTTGTATTGTATAATTTCACATAATAACTTCTTATTAAGGAGTTTAAACGCTGGAGCAAATTCTGTAAACTGAATACAAAGTTTACAAAATGTCAATAAAAATTATTTTGTATATCTTTCATTAGTGTGTTGTTTTGTTGTAGCTATAATATAAATCACTTAAGCCATTAAGAAATGCATGCTAGTATAAATGTGTAAAATTGTATGATGAAATTAAACTTATAATAATAAGAAAAATAAATTAACATTTTAGATAAAATGGGATGATCACTGGAGAGTTGATAGAATATTTGGAGAAAACAAATGGAAATTCATCTTTACAATACAGAGAGGCATCCCATCCATGCCACAACAAATACAAGGACTCCAGTTTCTATTCACAAACATTAATTCAAAAATTCTTCAAGGCTATTAGCTCAATTTTAGAGCCACAAAGTAATCTTTCAAGATTTTTTCTGCAATATCCATTTGGTAAGGGTAAGTTGGGTCAATTCATGTTAAATAACAAGGATTAGGATTGACTGAGTGGTCTGCAGTGTTGGCAGACTTCTCTTCAGTCAGATCTGAACTTTTAACCCCTGGTCTTGGTAATCCCAAAGGTGTGGGCCTTGAAAGTGTTACATTTGAAGTTTCCAATCCAGAAACAGTCGTGTTTGAAGGGTCTGATAGTGAAAACGTTCTAATAACTGGGACAAATCCTGGCACTTTTTGTGCTCTTTGACATGTGTGCATATGTCTTTTAAGTGACCCTTTCCATTTGAAAGCCCTGCCACACAGCTGACAAATACACTTGGGAGTTTTATGCTTCAAAAGATGTTGTCTCAAGTTCTGCATTCCTGGAAATTGTTTCCCACAAACATTGCAGTTGAAATTTTTCTTTGAACTCGGGGACCACAACTGTGTGCACTGTGCTTGGTGTTGCTGTAGATCTCTCACCGTCTTGCAACTTTGACCACATTTGGTGCACAAAAACTGACTCCTATTGACCCCTGACAGAGTATTCTCGGTAACAGGTTTTTGACCCATTTTGTAAGGCAATCCTCTGCTTTCCTTTACAGCAGCAACATTGGAGACATTTGGCAATGCATGTTTTTCAGCAATATATCTCCTGGTCCCAGACGTCCTAAATATGACAAGTCAAATTCAAACTATTTTGTAGACTGTATTTTGATTTTTACCACAACAGAATCTGCTAATCAAGCTAACCAAATGTCAGTTAAAACAAGTAATAAACTGCCAATGCTTAAGTCATGAACTAATTTCTAAAGCTGTTTTTGTCATCTTTATGCAGTTTTGAGTACTTACATTCCATTGCCTGAAGTCTGTGAACGCCATAACTGGGTTGGCTGGCCTCGATGTCCCTTTAGGAAATATTACACAACATAAATTTCAAATTTCTCTCAAACGTATTATATTTCAGACAAAAAAGCATTACCGTGTGAAAGTAATGCCTTTCCTTCCCTCAATTCTAATAAAAGATTAACTGGCAGATGGAGCTGTTAGAGACAATCATATTTTAGGCCTGTCAAAATAAGCAATTTATCATAAATAGAGGACACTTGTTGAAGTCTATTTAGAATAAACTAATCAAACAAAATGAGAGCCTGTAAAAAGCTTTAAGCTGTTAATATACAAATAGCTGTGAAAAACAAAAGGAAAATATTTGTTTGAGACCAATAATGTGACAAGATATTTAGTTTGCAAATCAAAACATGTCTAATTTCAGATTATATTGTATTTTTATTTCTATAATAATCATTGTAAGAGCTGTATACACAATCTAAATAGAGTGTAAAAATCTACCAACCTACTATCTACATAATACATGATAAAATATTGAGGTATTTGCTTTCACATTCTCACCTAATGTATTTCAATAAAACTTAAATTTGATCATTCTTATGGAATTTTGTTCTACATAAATAGCATGCAAAGACTGATGTTTCCCCATGTTCAGTATTGTGCACACCAGAAACAGCTGCTGTACATGCTTGTATTATGTTGTGCATGCTTTTATTATATTACACAAGATAACCTTTTATTTCAAGTATTCCATGTAAGTGTTTTGGTGAACTTTTATATTTATGTTTCTTTGCTACAAAATATATAAGAATTAACCAAGCCTAAGCAGAACTGAAAGATATGGTGATGCCATAAAACTACAATATAAATTTTCTAACACGAGCAGACCCACAAACATGACTCCATGACAGGTTTGGGTAGGGACAGGGGGCGGAGGTTGACATGAAATTCCTTATTGATGAAACTAGTAAATAAATATAATTTACATAACAAACAACATTTAATATATCCAATAATTGCAATCCACATTTTCACTGTTGCAACAACTTCAGGTGTATCAGATCATGTTCCACCTTGCTACTTTCAGTATAGTATCCATGACAGATATCACATCGTAGAGGCGTTATCTTATGGACAGCCTCAATGTGTCTCCGCAGATTAGAAGTTTTACTGAACTTCAGAGTGCCACAAAGAGAGCACAGATAGGCAGGGTTGCTCTTGTGGTATGCCTGTATGTGTCTCTCCAAGGACTGTTTATACACAAAAGATTTGTTACAAATGTCACAAGTGGGAAGTTTGCCTTTGTGTATTTTCATATGTTCTAGCAGAGAAGTGTGCTTTTGGAAGATCTTTCCACACGATTTGCACGAGTATTGCATGCCAAGATAAGACATGGCAAAACTGGTTTTCTTGCCAGTAGGATATTTCTGTAAGGCGAATTTCTTCTTTTCCTTATGAAATAATGTAGAAAATTGATTGAAAGAAAAAAGGCTCTATTCCACAAATATTAATCTTTTTCATTTTTAATGTAATAAAATATGAAGTACTTAGTAAACATGCTTTTAAAAGAAAATTGATTTTTTTCTGCATTCATTCTCACCAGTGTTAATGCATCACTCTACCAATTGCAATTATTATCAGAAAAGCATACAAAATTAGAAAAATTCAAGGTTTCCAATTATTGGAGGCAGTTTTACAAACCCATGTTCTGAAATTCTTGTCATACAGGAAAAAGGGCTGGTCTAAATTCCAAGCAGGCCAATTCTCTTTCATGTGACAAGATCATGAGAATCTGAAGCTCAAGGTAATTATTTTTTCTCCCCTAACATGAAATTTAGTTATTCGAAGGTGAGTGACCTATGCATGTTATTAATTAAACTTGTGTTAGCAATCATGTTTAGCCGCAAAGGGTTATTTCTTGTCAAAATGGCAGGAAGTGAGAATGCCCAAAGAACAGTTATATTATGGCTACCAATATTCCTCCAAGTCTAGTAATTGGTTGAGCAAGTGACTCTTCTGTCTAAGGACTTGGTAAATCTACATTTTCATTCACAGGGGCCTGTGATATGTCTACAATAATAGGGCCAGTAATCACGTCTGGAGTCACTAAGCCTTCACCTGTCAAATGATCAGCTCTCTCTGCCATCAAGTTTCCTGTTAAACTTTTTCTATCGTTTTTATCACCACTGCATTTATGATCCCTCAATCCATCTTCAGTGAAATAGCCATGACAACCTTGGCATTGGATGGCCTTCATTTTATGGACTCCTTCAATGTGACGGCGCATGTTGCACTTGCTATATTTGACAGCTTTGCATATGGTGCATGTGTACGCAGGGTTACTGTTATGACAGGCGTCAGTGTGTCTTTGCAGTGATAGCTTGTAGACAAATGCCTTGTTGCAGATGGTGCAGACAAAATCCTTTCCAGCACTGTGTATCTTCTTGTGACGCTGTAACAAGATGTCACTTTGGAACCCTTTTCCACACACCAGACAAAAGTGCATCCCATGAAGTCTCATGCGTGCTGGCGAATCTCCAGGCCATGGTCTTCTCAACTGTGGGTGGGTATGTTTGCCCTTGTTAAGGGAATAATAAATATGTCTTCATGTGTTAGAAAGCTACCAGCAAAATAATGGAGATTCCGCATTGAATATAATTATACAAATTTTATAAACTGACTATCCAGAGCATTTTGATATATTTAATTTTTCTGGTTCAGAAACGATAATTACTTTTCCAGTTTTTTTTATATAGCTAACTAATACACACAAACTATACAACTTTCTTTTCATTCAAAGATTTTGTATATATTAATTTACTGTTTTCTTTCATCTTCTCACCAGTGTCATTTGGAAACCTTGCCACATGGAGGAATTTTTTTACACATATATAAATTTTTCTACAGGCTGATAAAAGTTCATCTTCACTGATAGCTATTTACATTACAAAGTTACGCTTAAAAAACTGTAGATAAAAGTTACTAAATCTTTGTATGCTGCCAACTCCACCACATTAAGTTCCTCACTTCCAAAATGTAGCAGCAGATATCTTGTAATATGTCTTTTCTAAGTCTTACCTTGTAATATGTAAATATATTTTTGTTTCAGGTACATACTGCAATATACTGTCAACAACATCAACTATCATTAGAAAATAGCAGCAAGAAATATAGGGCCATGATTTCGAAGGTTCCATGTTGGTACCTCAACCCTCATGCACCATTTACATTTAAGCATTAAATGTGAAATCATGATGAAAATTCTTTGTGCTGCATGGCCATATGAATCCTCAAAGTTGATCTGGTGAAGTATACTTGGCAAACGTTACATCTGACAGCCTCTTTTCTGTGGACTGTTTCTATGTGATCCTTTATCACATCCGGAGAAGACAGCACATTCCCACAGATACAACAAACACATTCCTGGTTGCTTTGGTGATTGCGTTCAACATGCCTAAGCAAGGACTGTTTATACACAAACTGTTTGTTACACAGGAGACACTCATATAAATTCCCTTTATGAACTCGTAAGTGTGCCCTCAGCGCAAAACTACTTGAAAATGACATATCACAGTACTGACAGGAAGATTTTGTTTCTCTCTGTAGATGTTTCTTCCTGGACCTCATCAGGGGGTGACTGACAGTTCTCTTGAAGAAAAGAAAGCAAAAGTGCTTGTCAAAATATTCACAACTTGACTTAAAACTTCACATTCAGCTGCCCCATCGGGTTCCTGATGTCATGCCATTTTTGTCATTAGTATCCCATATAACAAAATAAAATGTTATGAAAATATATTTCCTTTAGTAAGGGATGTGTTTCATTGTCATTCACCTCTCTTTAAGGTGTTTTAAAATTTTCTCAGTTAACTGCTTTGCTCCATTTCCTTGCTTATTCTCACGAGTGGTTGCCAGAACATTCACCTGTAGAAAAACTCCCCTCATTTTTTCATTGAACTCTTTGCAAATCTTGTCGAGTTATAAAAACCTAACATAAAATGGAATGTTAAATAACCGTGTACAGATTAATTACATGGATAAATATTTTCATTAATGATCAGTGTTCCTCCTTTTTCCAGATACACATTTTAAGTCTGCTGATCCAGTTTGTGTAAACTTTTGATATGAGCTTTAACCATGTATGGAGAGGCAAATGATTTGTTGCAAAAGGAGCACATGTATGCTGGATTTGAATTATGCTTTGCCTCAAAATGCCTATGTAACGAAATCTTGTAGCCAAAGCTCTTGTTGCAGATCTCACACGAATACATTTTAGATTTATGAGCAACTCGCATATGCCGTTGCAAGCTAACCTGTGTGGTAAAGGTGGCATTGCAAGCATTACAGCATAAACTATCCTTGTGGTACAAGTTCAAGTGTTTAGTCAGTCCTTTTCCAGATGTAAAACTTTGATTGCACACCTTGCACTGGACTTGTCTGGAACTACCCTTGTCACACAAATGTTCTTTTTGGTGAGCTGTCAGAGACAAACTGTGTAGAAATGTTCTACCACACGTGCCACACTGGTATTTACTCCTTCCTTTCTCTGCTGCAACACTTGGCGTCACACGCTGTAGTTTTGACAATGTATTTGTCACTCTCCTTGGTGAAATAACTAAGTTTCTTCCTTTCTTTAAAAAATAAAACAGAAAAGGCTCTATGTCATAACAGATTTGCCCCCATACAAAATATGCAGGCTTAAACCATTTTTACCACAAGCATGTCATTTTTTATCATAAATATGTATGTATGTATGCACAATACTATGGATTTCCTTCTGGGCCAGTCTGTGAAAGGCTGTTTTCCTTTTTTTTTCTTTTTCAGTCAAAAATTTTGGAGGACTCAACACTGGTGAGAATAAGAAAGCAAACAAAGGAACTGACTATGGAATATATATTAAACATTATACAATACAGTTGTAAGTATATTAGTGCTAATATACTAAAAAATAATTTAATAAATAAAATTGTCCCCCTTGAGATACTAGTATATTAACATAAAAGGATAACAACTCCTCGTATGAAATCTATATTTCAAAATAAACACATCGTAAACAACTCATAGAAATATAACATATTCTATTTTACCACAAAAATGGCAGTTTTAGCAATAAATCTGAAATCTGTGCTTGCCATCCGACCACTTGACCTCCATAGATGGCTAAAAAAACAAACTTTTTAGAAAAAAAAAAAACATTGACTAACTTTGAATGTAGAAATGGATTCATTAACCATTGGTAATTATGGATAAATTGCTGTTTACCCTAGAAAAATTCATTTTTTGGCCAAAATGAACAGTTGTTATCCCTTTATGTGATGTACAACAAGACTAACATTTAACAAATTAACAATGTTGTATACCTTACTATACTATAAGCATACTAATACAAGGCTCGACATCAAAACTTTTGGCAGTCAGTTTTTACAGATGGCAATGACAAAACTTTTACACTGTTTTACTTTGTCCACCTTTTTCTTTTTGTCTCCCAAAAGTATCTGAACAGCAATTTCATTTTGGATATCTTCTTTTGCTTAACAAGAAATGAATTACTTGAATATAAAATCATTATTTAACAGTTCAGTTGTATGCATATACCCCTAACCATTGCTCAATTTTCACTAATTTAAAAGAAGCAAATAGAAATATAAAACTTTATGGGAAAAACAAAAAATAATATGTTTTAACATTTAGTTTTAAAAATCATTGTTTAAAAAATATAAAGTTTTTTTAAAAATTAAAGGTATTCAGTCTTTCCAATAAATGAGATAAATCCCACTAAAAAAGTGTCTAGCTTATTCTATAATGTGCTTTTAAAACACTATACAGAAAAAAGCCCTTCCCTTCATATCAGTCAATTTGTTTTCTTATAGGCAGATTCTTCCACAAATATTCTAGCAAGTAGTTCTTTGCTGCTTTGACTAAGCTCATCAAAGGGACGTTTCTTGAAAACTTTGACCCGCCCTCTCGTCTCTACAGTACCAAATCCCAGCTCAGACACCTTCATCAGATATTCAACTGCTGACTCAGTCTTGTACTTGTTTTTACAGCCAGGTGTTTGCATAGGTGGCATAAGATGTCTCTGTGCCACACAAGAGGCGCTAAGCTCTTGTAACCCATAGGTTAACAAAGACCTCAAATTGCGCTTGTGTTTGGTAGTGAGATGGTCAAGAGGATTGACCAGAGGTCTTGGGCTTCCAGCTGAACTACCCTGCAGTGTCCTGGGGGCGAACTTCTGACCTAGCATCATATCTGAATGATGTTTGACTTTCTTTTCTAAAATCTTGGCTTTCAACTGCTTAACCTTCTCTGCTCGTGCATAATCTAAAGGCCTGACAGGACTATGATGTACCTGTTAAAGAAGTGAAGTGGCAAATTTACTCATAATGAGAGCTGAGTTGTTGATCTTTCATTTAAGTTAACAATCTTAGTGTTAAGTATATCAACAGTTAATATCCTAATTTTGCCAGATTTAACATTTCTTTTTTTTTTTAATAACACCATTTTAGAAATAAAATGTTGTCCATATAAATATGTACTTATTATTTCTAGCTTCAGAATAATTCTGTAGAACTTAAAGCATGTCTTATCTCTAAAGAAACAGCTGTCAATTTTCATAATTCAAAGGCCGGGGAGATGCAAGGCACAAAGGAGATGATTTCTGTGAGGCTCTCTTATAAAAAGAACTAACTGAGATGTGCAACATTTTGTCTCGAGCTGAACTATTGCCTAGGTCCATATATTGTCTGCATGAAAGGATGCTAAGAACAAACCCCAACGACACAGCCCTACTACCTTAAGCAGTCAATCTCTCTAAAAGAAAAAAGCCACTACCAGGCACTTGTAGTGGATAACAATATGTTTGTATAATTAAATTACAACTACAGGTTTGAATGACTAACTTGGCACCTTATAGTGTGGAAGAAAGGCCAACTTGTTCATGTACACCTTTTCCATTTACCACAATATTCCTTTATAACATCAAATATTCCTGAAATATCATCATGTACTATTATGAAATATATTCTCACTCAATGAACAATCAAAAGTTTTATGTCGAACCCTGTCAAAATATAACTAAAATACAAATGATAACTCTTACCTGCTGCATCCTTGCCATCTTTCTGTGAAGAAACATTTGCCCTGGTGTGGTTGGGGGAGGTGGCACGTTAGAACCCACTTGAGAAGTTGAAGGTTGAACTAACTGTTCTGTGTTTGTCATACTTGTGATAGTGGATGGTGCATTCAAATGCACTTGTGATAAGCTATAAGGGTATATCTGCGAAGGCTGAGAGGAGCTGGGCTCTCCTGCAGCAGAGGGCTCAATTGTGACTTCAGCTACATTTTTCGACCTCCTTGATATCATATCTTCATCTTTCACTACAATTATGTCATCATCCTCTTCTTCGGCTGTGTTTGAGTTGACACCTGTATTTGGCATCTGTCTTGGTTGCACGCTGGTAGTCTGAGAAACATTTTGAGATGCTGAGATTTCCTTTGAATTTCTATACTGTGTGTTTCTGAACAAGTTCACGGCATCTGGACCAGATGTTGGGGACACAAGTCTCTCATTTGAATGCGTGACATTTGGCGATTGCTTTTCAAAACTACCACGTGAGGTTACTGTTCCAACATTACTCGGCTGTTGTTGTGATGGTGCAGGCTGTTGCTGCTGAGATTCCTGTTCTGGCGCCTGAAAGACTTTAAGAACCTGGGCAATCTGGGCCACAAATCTGCCATCTTTAAATGTTATCTCCAAATTGGATAGTTCAAAGTTGACAAAGTGCTCCTTTTCACTCTTCACTTCTATGGTATGCTGGAATTCACCTGAAACAACATTATCATAGCTTGATATAAGCATTATAAAAAACAACTTATTATGAAGAAATGTCATTACACAAAAACTTCATTCTTGTATGAAATTTTGTCCAGATACTCCAAAGAGAAAAGAAAGAACAGGAACAGTTTCAACAGGCAATGATGTCAAAATTTTCAACCAATTAACCTATGGTCCATTAAAAAAACTTTGTTTGGCATTAAACTACTTATGAATTTTTTTTCAGTAATAAAAGACATCCTTGGACTTAAAAGCATTTACAATAATTGATAACTGCAAAGGTTTTTAGTAGTAGTAGTTTGGGATAATAATAAAAATAAAAATAAGCTTACTAAATTATTTACCTTCATTATTGGTTGCTATAAACTTGGCAAGCTCTCTTTCTCGCAGAGCAGCACAAGTCTGGACAAGCTCTGCAGGCAACTTTAGATCAAATCTAGAGATCTTCAACATTCTGATGCCACTCTTTCCCAATCTTAAATAAAAATGTGTATTGTAGTTTGGGCATGTGCTATGAAAGCAACTGGTAAGAGGTCAAAGCATAAGAGATAAGGGACTCATTCTTGGTAATACATTTTTATCATTTTAAACTTCTAAATGACATGAATTTATGTTGCCAAAAACAATCTCATTTTTCACCATCTGACAAAGCTTGCCATCTGTCAACCATCTTGATACAGTTTTGAAATGCAAGCAATCCAGAAATCAGTCCCTGAAGTGATGGCAGAGTGTGGACAAAGGACTTTTCAATATTTCCAAATTATTAGTAGCACAGAGCTGAGGAAAATACTGTTTACTTTAAGAAACTGCCCTACTGTTCATAAATGTATACATCAAAGGTATATGTTCTGGATTTTTTTGCAAAATTGAACTTTCCCCTAACAAACAAACAAACAAAAAATTATCCTTTTCACAATTCAATACTTGACTTGTTCTTGCACATGGATTTTAATGTTTTCTACCATTTTAATTAAAAATTTATTTGTAAATAATTCCCATAATACTGGAATTAATATAAGAATATGCTTACTAATTTTCTGATATTTTTACAATAACGTTTAGCGCTATCTGAATAATGGGATTACAGCAAATATTCATCCTTGCAATAGCCTTTAGAAGCTCTCATAATATTTGAATGGGCATGAAGTTTTTGACAAAAGCTTTTTGAAAAAATTAGTATATGAATTGCGAAACTATTTTATTTAAATGGCGGAGACATTGCTCTATTTCACCACAGAACTTACAGAGTAATTTAGAAATTAGAAACACTGAAATTGAAAATCAAAGACTTATAGGGTGCAGAAATACCAAAATATCGACATTGGGTATTTTCATTTGAGGGGTTTCTGCGTTTTATAAGGTCTAAATTGGGAATGATAAGTAGCTTCGGGGGATATGTATAGACACAGAAAATACTGTACGACTTGGGGACATTTTTAAATGCGGACAGGATACATGCCAGAAAATTCACAAACAAACAGACTCAGCACTCGTCTTCCAGTGCATAATGAAAAAGAAACTCTTACCTGTAAAATGACGATTTATATTACTGGTGAATGCTGCACTTAAACCATATAAAAGCTAAGAGAGAACAAAGGAATTTGGAAAATATACGAAAGCTGTAAGACACCAACCAAAATACTAGCTTTCGATGCTAAACAAAGAACCAAGACAAGCCACCTAAACAACACGAGTTAATTTTCCAAGTTGTTGTAGAGCCACTTCCTGCATAAGTTGTTGTTCTTTAGAAAGAAACACATTCAATTAAAAGTACTTAGAACTGGGGAAATAAGGACCAGAAATGACTGTAGCACTTCTTAATGTTGAAAAGGAAAACTGAACAATAGGCCTGTCGTAACATTAAGTTTTTAAAACTATTCAAAAATAATCAAATATGCAATTTATACTTAATCAGAAAAGTTCAAAATTGAATGACTTACTAGCAAATCATAAAATTATTACCAACATTGATCAAAACATAATAATAATAATTATTATTTCTAAATAACCCATAATTGAAAAAATGACGATTTTCTCGAATATAGGTCCAGGATTGACGTCTCCCCGGCAGGGCCATCCGTCCCAACTGTAACTACATGTAGGTGTACTCAATGAGCGTTGTAAATGAAATATAGGCATTGTGTTACAGACCTGATCATGGTTAAATTTTTAATGAAAGCTCTCGGGCAAAATATTTGTGCAAAATCAGCTTCCTCTAATCATGAGACTGATGAATTTTTTTTGCGTCAAAACAAAAAGAGATTTGTTATTGAAAATGATTATATGATTTAAACAAGCTATCTAATAATGACTCTTGAAAAGCATTGCTTGAAAATCATGAGGTATTGTAGAATTCTTCTTACACCTTTTTATTTGATTTATGGAAATATGCATCTTTTCTTAGTCGTCCTTTCATAATTCAATCGTTATTTATTCTCTTATTGACGTTACGTTAGACTGTTGTGCATGTCTCGCGAAGTTTGTGACGTCACAAATCTGCACGACGACCGTAGTCTGGAAACCGAAAATTTCGTTTTTCAACAAAACAGATATATAGTAAACCAAAGCAGTTTATAGATTCTATGGATATTTACGATTATATGGATAAGCAAAGCCATGACATCTGAGGTAAATCGATAATGAAACAATTTTGCTTTAAGTTTTCACTATTGGCCGTATGTGCGTAGGATCACGTCCTTAATTTATTATTATTATTATTATTATTATTATTATTATTATTATTATTATTATTATTATTATTATTATTTGTGTGTGTTGGCGCACGCGCGTGCGCGCGTGTATGTGTGTGTGAGAGAGAATGTAATGTAGCAAAAATAAGTTAGATGTGTGCAAACAACAAAAGTTATCTGATGTTCTGCACTTGTCTGGCATATCTTGTAAAATATTCTTCTTCAGGGCACATGTGAATAAACCAATGAATAGGATGTGGTAATGTGTTTCTCTCAATTTGTGTTAATAGAGGACCAACATGAGTAGGTGAATAATCAATGTTTGTAGATTTTCGACTAAGGACAAGAAGTGTCCAGATATGGAATCACATTTTAAAGACAGGACTTGTGGAATTGCTGTAGTTAAAACCATCTTATCTATTAACTTTAAACAGTGTCTCAAAGGGGTCTGTTACGTGATTTCCAATTAAAGGAAATAACATTTACATTATTGGCAGATGTGATAATAAAGCATGCAGTCGATGACTTGCTTGATTAATACGATTCTACGAAATCCTGCGTTAATTGGGATTATCTAGGTGAGAGAGCGACGTCTAGAAATTACCGAAAAATCTTATAATCCAATATCTCATATCCTTTATCCCACAATATGAGTAGAGAAGCCAGTAGCTGTGTCAGTTCACCCGCAAAAAAAACTAAGTATAAACTGACGGTTCAAAAAATGAGATGCACCGTTCTCAGAATGTCCTAAGAAGTACCTGAATACAGTAAAAATTGCGTCACAATAAGGGCATCAAACTAAACTAAATTCCATAGGTTCTCAGGTAGATGTTGGGAAACCTGGGCTATATTTGGACCCCGGGGTAAGTTGGCCTCTCAACGAAAAGGTAACTGCATGTACGAGGTAAAAAATGATCACATTTTGTAAAGGGATCGTATCCAATAATGCTCAGAAAGTGTCGGTCATATAAAGGTTTTATCGGTGAATCCAAATGAAAGATTTCTGCATCTAAAAGTAAATTTATGAAATAGATTTTTAAATAAGGTTGTGATCGAATATAGTATATGTACAGAGCATCAAACTAAAGTTTCACAGAAATGCATCATCGTAGTTCATTCTAGCACCAAAAATGGCTGCAACCCTTTAAAATAAAAATGTGCACCTGGGGCTAGTTGGCCCCTTTAACTCGGAGCAAGTTGGACCCTCATATAGACCACAATCCTTTGCGCGCAACACAGCTATAGACCGTTGTTAACGCAAAGTCATTGTTTATTTTAAGTAATATCAGTTGAGGATTGAAACTGTCAGTTTTTAATGGAAGTTTATTATTCTTTATCATTCATTATTTATACCATTATTAAATTATTCTTAAATAAAAATATGATGCACAGATATTTGGGTTCTTGCAACACATATGTACGTAACGTACAGAAACCTTAATATATTTGCCTTTGAACTACTTATTCAGCAAAGACTTTAAAAATCAATTTAACAAAAAAAAAAAAAAATGTGTGAAAATGTATTTCATGGGGTTTACATGGGATACTAATTGCATTTAATTTTAGTCTGCCAACTTGCCCCTCACGTCAGATGCGTTTTTTGTCAAATTGTGGGCCGTCTGGCATTATATTTGCAAAATAATGACGTTGCATATGTAGGTAATATAAGTTCATGGAGCTTGCTTTAAACCCGTTTTTATTGCTCTAACTCATTCCCAGTTGGCTCTACAGGGTAAAAAGTGTCTCCTGGGCCAAAGCAGACTAAAATATCATGTTGTGGCAACAACAGAGGTAAACCTCTGTCTTTTCTGCTCCTCTCTGAGGACTAGGGTTAAATTTTTAGGCAATTTCCTTTAGTCTACTTTGTAAGCATGTACTGGTTTCTAAATGCATTTTCCTTGCTTTTAATTTTTAAGAAATCCATAATTTTAAACGCTGTTGATTTTTATGTAATTTGATAGAAGATAAGTTTTTTTTTTTTTTTTGGTTTTTCGTTTTTGGACAATTAACCAATTAATAGATTACCCTTTAATTTATTGAATTTTATATGTTTCGTCTAGAAAAATCTGATTCCTTAGTTTTAACATTTCGTTAATACCCTTTTGCACCTTAGACGATATTCTTATGGTAATGGGCCGCACTACTTTGAATCTCATCTATCAGTTGGAAAAAAAAAGACCACTGTCTTCAATAACACCTTTCTTATTGTTGAAACCAATGTGATATTGTTGTATTCGTCAAGTGAAAGGTGTGTGTGACGTCACAAGACAAAAAACCTAGTATCTATGACAACTGTTGTGCTGTTACCAGTATATATCCAAATATCAGTGGAATCAGATTCAGAAATCTTTTAACTTATATGAAATAGATTAAGAACATTCACGCCATCATGCCGTCAACGGTAGGTGACAAATACATGTACACGTAGTCTTTGAAACAGAAAATAATAAACATGTATATCAGCCGTATAGCTAAATCTAGTGATGGTCTACATGTATGCGTTTAATGGCTATCTCTTCTACTTTCTGAACTTAAAGAAATATCAATTTGCTTTGTCTAAAATCAAAGTCAATCTGTTTTGCAGAAGTCTAGAAACAGACCCCCCTCTGTTTGGCAGAGAGTTAGAAATGCACTCACTATATTCACTCACCTGTTCGTGTGTGGAAGTGGTAAGTTGAACATTTCACTTTTCAATATGTATTATTAAGAATTCATAATTTACACCTAGAAATTGTGGAAATTGATATTAAATTCGAGGGTGTTAAACGGAAGTACCGTGAGATGTTAGAAACCTTGATTTTAGTGACATTTAGTGATCCTTAGGATGTAAAATAAAATCAAGGCATTCAATATCTCAGCACTTGTGTCATATCCAATGGGCACTTTTGACACGAATAAAGCCTAGATAAGTAGTAATTTATTATTTATTATTATTTTGAGTCTTTACATGCAAAACATGCAAAATAATGATAATAAATAAACAGAAAATGACAAAGCAAACCTACTTATAAGGTTACTTCCGTTTACCCCCTTAAAATACGTAGGGTATAAGTGTTAATCGACAGAGATGTCCAAAAAGTTTCCTGTCAGGAAGCATACTGCATTAGATTCGAGTCTGCAGCTTTAAGACCCAAGGCGCAGAAGACAGTGAAGAACATTTAGGAATAGGGAGGAATTAAAAAGAATTTGATTTTATAGCCAGGAAAAAATTAAGGATTGTGTTGAAACAATGTCTGTGGCTTTTTCAGTAAAGACAAGTGATTCTATCAGAACTAAATCCCGAAGGGAGAGAAGGAAGAACTATGAAGATAAGGTAAGAGCTGACTGTCAGTTATTACAACTTTTTTCCCACCCTTTTTTCATCTTGAATAACTTTTTGGTAATTTGTATTGCATCATGCAATCTTCTATTTTATAGATTTCACATCTGTAATTCTGTTTAAAATTATTTTTATTATTTTCATTTTTTCTTTCCTTTGTACAATTTAGTCTCTTCATTCCTCTGAACAACGCATAAGAGATGGTGATAAAGAAGTAAACGCTAAAACCAATGAAGGTAAGTTGACTCGAAACAAGCTTATAGTTAAGACCATATATGTGTTATATAAAATACACGCACGAACGCATGCACATATATGAAAAACGCAGTATTTCTCAAGTACAAATACTCATCTGTCAACAAGCTTATGGAAATATGAAACGATTTAAGTTGGAAAAAGAGGGACCAAATTTACCCCCCCCCCCCCCCAACCTCCCAAACGCGCAAACACAACAAACATTTACTGGCCATGGGTTTTGTGGTAATGTTGCGCCTTTACTGATAAGTATGCATTGTGATTACAGATTTGGTGTCTCAAATACAGAGCATTCCCATCAAAGACGAAAGAGACTCTCGCAGTCTTGTTGTGGAAGATGTTCCAAAGTTTCTTCCGTTGACATGCCTCGACTTTTTACGACGGGGCTTCTTCTCGACGCGCCTCCTGCTGGGGGAAGGCAGGTTTGGGAAGGTGTTTCTGGGAAAAGAAAACACATCCGGTTCACTTGTGGCGATAAAGGTATTCAAGAAGGCAACAGAGTTCGAATGCGCCGTAAGGGAGACACGCATACTGGCAGCTCTCAGTGAAACTGGAATAGTGCCGAAATTCTTTGGGCTCGTGGACTTAAGCAATGTAAGGTTTGGATGGATGAGAGGACACCTGAATGTAGGTGCGGTGGTTCAGTTTGTAGGGGACACAATGAAGCAGAGAACCATCACTCTCTATTCCGCTATCACAGCTTCACGAAGACAACCTGTGAACGTGCGCAACATGCTCCACTGGGCCAGATTAATGCAAAAACTAGCAGTTAAATTAGCTAAACTGCACAAACTGGGACTGTGCTTCAATGATTTGCATCTTAAGAACATAGTTCTCACCGGTGCAATTCAGCAAGATCCAGATGTGTATCTTGTGGACGTTGGAAAAGTGAGCTTTTCTAACTCCCAACATGCTTACAGGCATTATGTAATTCCCCGTCTGAGGCAACTGTACAAGCGTCGATTTCCGCAACACGGTCCAGAAATATGGGAGGGACAGAAGTTTTCTACCAAGTCAGACGTTTACAGTTTCGGGTTCATCCTGAAATGTGCTAAGCTGGGAAAGCTTCTCGGTGTCACCAACCTGATGGAAGGTTGTCTGGCAGCGGTCCCTCGCGAGCGTCCAACGATGGGCGAAGTTGTGGAAAAGTTGAATCAGCGTGTGCGTGCTCTAGAGATGATGGAAAGGATAGAAAGATTTGAAAGTCAATTTTAAGACTCACCGTGATGTGTTACATTGACCATTTTAAAGATCAGCGTGAATCAAATAAGTTTTGATGTTGATAATGTAAGACAATGACAGTTGCGTAAAGGATTGATATGTGGATCAGTATTATTTTATTTCATGTCATTTTTTCAATCTCTCTTTCTGTCTACTGATGCTTTTAAGCATCAGTTTGAAAAAACATTCCAAGTTTGACAAATTATAAAGCATTAATTTCACTTGTATATGTTATTCAACCACACTATATGCCTCTCTTGGCTACTGTATTACTACGAAATTCTTATACACGTATATTAAGTTCGATCTCAGGTTTTATTTCGCCTTTATTACCTGCTCAATACCATAACGAAAACTAAACTGTACATTTTCTTGTTTGTATTAATTGAAAGTAGTGAACATAACCCGTGCATTGTATACAAGACCCGTGTGCCGCTTCAACATAGAAAGGATGTACATACAATATATACATGTACCTAAATAAACTTAATAAATCTTTAATTAATTATTAAAAGTGGATCAAAGTCAAAGGTTTTTAATCTTAAATCTTCTCTTTTTAACAATATTAATTGTACGTACTTCTGCTTTAGAAGCAACCTTGCATTTTAGCCTACCTTTGCATTTGAAAATACAAGAAATGCAGTGAACTACTGTATACTGTATACGGAACTTACATGTACCTATTTGCAAATATAAAAAAATTCTGAAAATTTAACAACTTTCTCTTTTTTTTTTAACAATCATTTCTCTTTTTTAATTCCGTTGAGAAAAATACCGGCCACACGTTCTAAATTTCTCTTTTTACTGTCGCTTGTATTTCACCAGTCTCTATCTCCATGACGCGAATGGCTTGAAAGTTAAGGTAAAAGAGTTGAAATTTTCAGGAAAATAAAACGTTTCCAGTATATAAAAGCCGAACACTCATTGTCGGCAAATTCAAGCACAAGAAAAATCGTCGATGTCAAAAGTTGCAGCTTTTCCCCCGTTCTAAAATCCAACGATATTTTATCAAAAACGTCGTGGGACTTATTTCGCAAGCAACATGCATATGTCAGTTACGAAACTTTTTTTCATTGACTGGCTGTGCTAGCTGAGACTATGTTGCTGAATGTGTTTCTTGCTGATGACAATAGCTCGCTTTTCTCCCATCGCTGAACATACAGTAAATTATTTCATTACATACAGCCTTTTAAGCAACTCCCTCGACTCCAAACTTTACAAGATAATTTCGCAATTTTCCAGATTTAAAAGCTATTAAGCCCCCTAGTGAAATCTGACGTGTTGTTATGAAAATCACGAAAATCATATCTATACAAGTAACTAATGAAAATTTATTACAGGGACACAAAGTTAATTACATTAGATATAAAATTTCCAGACACCATCAGAACAAATAGAGACTAACGTGGGTTTAATTGGATAAAAAGTGCATCTATAAAATGTAATACAATTTTAGGGGCAGGGAATAATGCACCGTTTGTTCTTTTTAATGCAATTATGTCTTTTATTAACCGTGTGTATAGAGGATATTAGTTGGATTTTCTTTAAAATATGGAAACGATAATAGCAAATATCTAGGCTAGGTTAATCGGTAATTGAGCCAGCCTTCAAGATGATGGATGAGAAGAGCTTGGGATAGATCACTAAGCAAAGAACTGGAATCTGTGAATGGAAATTGATGTGACTAATTGATGGCGTGATGGCAACATTCATCCTTTTAGTGGATCAGTGTTTAAGTGCGTTTAGGTATTGTTTGTGTTATTAATTCAGTGCATGTCTCGCTCTCGCGTGACTTGGCGGGTTGTGCTGCCACATGTGTGCGGGAAGATATGGAGAGCTAGTGAGGGGGAACTGATAGGGAACTGATGGAACAATCCATTTATACAAGAGGCACACCACACAAAGAAAAAATAATGAGCGCGGAAGAGGTTTTGCAAATTATAAACGCCCCATTAAGTTGTTCAATAATGATAAAACGTTTTGATTATTCTATACGGCTTTTAGTGACCTCTCAATTATGCACCCGTTATTTTGTTTGTTTTTCTTCGTTGTCCTCCCACTCTCACTCTCTCTCTCTCTCTCCTGCCAAATTTACCCGTCAGTTCATTAACTCACCACGCTAATTTATAATTACTGATCAAGCCTAACCAAACAACTTGGGAAGGCGTCAATAAATTTGCTCTATTAATTGTTTTAATTTGCCATTAGGACGTGTTAGCTCCCCGCATGGGGGGAGGTCGAGATTTGTGCTGAGAATACTAGTTAGTAAGAGTGGACTGGCATGCTCTCTACCCTCTTTACACAGGCAAAAGTAGGCCTACAATCAAAAGAACGGGAACAGAGTTCAGTGCAAGTTATTTTTATAATTACTATCAACGCGTTTTAAAATGATCTAAGTGCTCTTTTTATCCATTAGACATGATATCAGTACAATGTAGTTCACACAACCTAGGCATTTTAAGGAACATGAACTTTTGTTTTTTGCCTTTGATCTAATCTTCTTAGTAACTCCATACATTATTAATTTAACAGAGGATAAGAATTACTATTTTTGCGTGACTGGCTTGCAAGTCGACGGTGAATGTTTATTATTTTAAGTTTTACCAATTGTAATGTATTTCTAAGATTAAGGGCGCTAATTGGTTGGAAAAAACCTTCAAAATATAACGTTACATTTGTCTTTTTGAATATGTACGTTTTATACAAGATAATCTATCCAAACTGTGGCACGCAAGTTACTCTATAAAACATGAAAAAAATTTTGTAAAGTGACATCAAAGTTGCATTGTATTCTTTTTAAATAAAAGACCCGTTGTTTTTGAACAAATATTCCTTGCGGATTTTTTCTTTACCAGTTATTTTTCTTTTTCTTTTGCTAAGCCAATATATTTTATCTTATACACCTGCCCCTGAAAATACACCGAACAAAAATATGTTAATGTAAGTAGAACAACGATTTTATATAGGCCTATATATAGATAACTTATGCTAATAAAATTTTAAGTATTGCGTTGGACGTTTATATACATTGTATTTGCCCAATGTACATAAGAATATGATGAATCAACATTTAAACTTGAGTCCTGAGTAATCTAACCTGTACATTGTCAGAGGATAGTTATTACTTATAAAGACAGTACATTGTTTTATAGGTAACAAAATTTTACAGGTGACGCAATTTATGAAGCTCTACTTTTTCATCACTTGATCAACCCTAATGTGCTGTACTGCAGGAATAGTTTTTGTCGTCATTACAAACTAACCCAATAATTTCTTTTCACAGTTTGTCAACCATTTAAGCATAATCTGATGTTTTCTTTTTATTGAAAGATTGGATTTGCAATTAAAAAAATACATCGTATGGACTTTAGCATTCGGTCAGATTATCTTTGAAATCAAATTTGATTGCATCGTATTGTTAAAAGTCACAGGTAAAACCACATAGTTTTAGATTCTTTAAAATTTAAAAATACATGATCAACCGACAAAACTACTGAAATACACTGATTTGAAAATATACATTTTAAAGCAGTAAAATAACCACTTATCTTCCGTCTAAAATAATACTGTGTAGAACAAACCCCTGCAAAAGCGGCAACGCGTTATATTCTGGAATAGTAATGAACATTCTTGGCCGGTCACTGGAGAAAAAAACGAAGCTGAGGTGGTCTTTTTTAACTCGACAATGATCTACCTGTCTCACCTCCCCTTGAGTGCGAGCACGTGCCCTGGCACCAGGCTCTGCATAGAATTAAGAAAATTGTGTGGTCTCTTTGCAGTTTCGACTAAGGTGATTTTTGTTGGGGTTCTTGTTATGACATCGTTGAAAGATTGTTGATACCTTACCTCGTATTCTGGCTTAGGTCATGTTTACCAGATATTCAATGTAAAATTGCATTTCGTAAGATTAATTATATTATATTATATTATATTGTGATCTTGTATTAATATCATCAATATTCAGATGTACACAAGAAAATCATGTTACCTCAAATCTCAGAATGGTAGTTTATCAGTTCTCTTCTTTTAAGTTAGAAAACCTTGATATTCAACTGAGAGCACATCTACACGCTACTGTATATCATGCCCTGAGACGATAAAAAACACGGTTAACGTGTGATCGCTGTGGTTCTAAGCGTTTATTTGTTAGAAAACTGCCCGCATTCATAATCTAAGTATGATGCGTTTGTTTGCTGAATTCTGTAGAATATGCCAACAGAGGGTGAAGCGAATTTAGCATGAAGATAATTTAGAGTAAATTAATATATATGCACAAACAAATGATAAAGGGGAAATTAATAAATGCGTTACATTATATAAATATTGACACTATTGCTACTTATACGCATTACACACAAGGCAGTGTAATGGAAAACACCAAGATTTCAGCAAGACTGCCAATTTGCGTTAAATTCTTGATGACACTGTGGTATTTTTATTCTCGCCTAAGTTTATAATTCGTCGCCGATAATCTTCCTTAAAAATGTCTTGAAAATATCTTTCGTTCATCAGAAGGCAGAGTAATACGCTCTTGATTCCCAGGTACGTTTACACTTTGGCAAGACCTTTCGTTCACCGATGGCAGTCCTCGGGTGAAATTGTTTGACTGACTTGTCTAAAAAGAGTGTTGCTGAAATTGATTACTCTCTTTTTTTGCAATCAAAACCTATTCCATTATGCGGTGATCCGTTGCTTGCAGGAAAAACAATTGTCTTTCAGTTGTAACTGAAGGTAGCTTTAATAGCGTGCTAATTGACTGCCTGTGAGGCAAACTTTGGTCGATTTTAAAGACGCCTTCAGTAAAACTAACGTAAACAAAGTGAAAGAGGTGGAGGGGGGGGGGGGCGTTGGTAGGCTTGAAAGGGGAATGAAAGGTGCATAGTTTGCTGTGTTTCTAAAAATCTTACTTGGTATCGAAATATTGTCTGTAACATTTTAGAAAGATGTGATTACTCTCTCCGCTTTCCCCGAATATGCAGGTGTTTAATATATTTCCATTCCCGGCTTTTAGCCCTAGCAATTGCCAGTTCTCTTGCAGTGAACCCTCATATCGATAATGCAGGGAAAATATAGAGTGACTAATCGTTCTCGGTGTACTACCAATACTTGTTGAACCCTGGGCTTGCAAATCAAGCCTCACATGTTGTGCCGTACTGCCAAATCACTATTAGTCAGGATATATTATAAATGACGAGGAAAACAACTAAAAAAATCTTATTGTTTTAATTTAAGGGCAATCGTAAAGAGAATGCAAACATGCAGTTTCAAAAGAAAATACTCAGCAGTCCTAACATTGACTGATAAAAAGTCTGCACCATAAAAAATCAAACCAAAATGCGTGTAGGATTATTTCCAACTTCTAAGAATAAGAACTGCTTTTGAAAAGATGGTAGATAAAAACAAAGAGTTAAATTGACAAACATATAGTTATCAATTTAAACTGGGGTAGGTTAGGTCAAGGAGACGGTGCATCTGATGTACCTCCTTGGTTTAGTGTTGATACGCATATTTCATTTGTTTGCGACAATTTAACTGTATATTTCTTAAAGAAAATTACTAACATTAATTTAAAGTATACAGAGACACTACTATTGATTCCGTGCACAGTAGGAAGAATTTTATCAAGGCTTCACAGTCGCCTCAATCATGCATGATTGGTGCGTACGTAAATTTCGATTCTAGTTTTCTTGTTCCATCTCCGGTTGCCAGTCCACTAATTGCAGCCTTCCGGAATTTGACTTCCGCTGTTTATGCGACGACATCGACTTTTCCTTAGTGAGGTGTTCGATACTCCATTTGGACTCGTGTTAATTAAAACAGTTAATTTATCAATACTGCAACCTAAATTTCCCGTCATTTTCAGTAAAGTGTCTGCATTAAACCCCGACTTTGTCAATTCTTGTATTGTGCTAATTTTAGATGAGTATATTTGCTCATTGCGCTTCGTCTCACGAAATGTGCGGAAAAAGCAGAATGACTTTAACAAAACTGTGACCGTAATGTTGAAGTGATTGTTTTTATTACAAAACAACTGTACACGAGATTCATTTGGCATTCAATTGAGTGTCGCCGGCTAATTGGCAGAGAGGCACCAATGACGTCGCGTGAATAGTTAATAGACCGAGGCCGATCTAGATCAAACATTAAAGACAACGCTCGCCAAAGTGAAAGGGAAATTAATTAACCAAAACACACACCATTAAAATCTCGATGACGGAAGAGCCTGCGACACAAATAGTTACAATTCCTCCCAATACAAAAATCAAAATCCATGCGGCAACATAAGCAGAATCTCAGAATGGGAACGTGCTCAGCCTGACCGAAACCAGGAAACACTCTTGGAAATCTGAATACTCTCAAGTTGATCCGAAGACTGACAGGATGCAGTCCCTGCATCCGGTAATTTGGCGTGAGTGCCCCCATTTTGATACCTATATATTTATCTTGTAAAGTCTTTTCATTGAAACACGAATAAACATTGATTTTTATAATAAAAGAAAGGAGTCTGATAATAAAAGTTTTTATATATGAAAGAAAAGTATTTTTGTGTATTTCTAGAAATGCCAACGTTTAACATTTTTTGTCATGAAATGGAGCGTATGAATAATAGGAAATATCAAAAGTGCAAAAAGGATGATTCACCAGCAAAACTTTTTTGTTCCGTTTAAAAATGCGAGTTACACATGTGCGAAAAAGGCACCATAAACAATAAATTCCCATTAAGAATATTACACGTCAATCAACAGCAACCAATTAAGGTCGTTTGTGTTTTCCTTCATAACTGAACACGAAAGCAGCCTTTCACATGTATGGTGTAATCATATCAATTTATTTACACATTGATAATAAAAAATCACTTTGGTGGGAATGTTTCGCGAGGCACAAGTAGTATCAAGTTAAATTCCAAGTACATTAAGTGTAATATTTCACCACGAGTATTGATTGTACAATTCTCTGCCGCTGAACAAGATCAACTGTAACAGACACAAATCAGCGCGAAAACAATTTCATCAATACATCCAAGTAATTTGGAACGCAATCTAGTCATAATATATTGCACGCTGTAAACCGTCATTTTGTACAATACATTAACACAAGGTTCGATATCACCATTGACTAAATCCTACGAAATAAACCGCATCCGTTATAACAACTTAAGGAAATTTGATCACCAATCTCAAACAAAATCATACAATAGAAATACAGCAAGTCTATGTGGGCTTCCCCTCGCTAATTACGCGATGACTGACTCGCTTCTATGAATAAATTACACCAAAACGCATCATATACTATCAAATACACTCTAATGGACGTTGATGGTGCGGGATCGGTTTCTGGGGAAACAAAGCGTTCGCAGCGATGTGAAGAGCGGCTGAAATGAATTCTGATGATTGCCGTGTAACTTTAGCTGAAATTAATAGAGTTTTTATAGCGGCGGACGACTCGCCTTCAATCCAACGCTTCCTGTTCGAATATGCTGGCTGTGGAATAATGTCGAACAAATGACGGGTAATCAACAACGCTGTGTGCTCCCTTACAGTGGTAATGGTGCATTGTAGATTTCATCGCCGGCAGATTTCTTAATTTCCTTTACTTATGTTCCGCTCCCTTGACGCTATTAGCGCCGTCGCACATTTTCCTTTCCCAGCAGTTCGCGACGCCCGCATAAGCTTGCCGCCGAATGTCGTTTCATTTTTGGTCTTTAACTTGGCATGTGAATGATCAGTGGCAAACAAAGTTTTCCCCTGTAGTGTGCATTTTTTCCTTTTCTTATCTTTATTGTTGTTATTTTGTGATAAGTTTTTGGCATATTCTGGGCGCAGCTTTATTGACAGTTTTGAGTGCACCTTGTAATACAGAAAAAAAAAAGAACAAAGAATTTGTGCCACTCTCAGTGAACTAAAGGTGATTTTGGCATTGGCATAGGAGAGCGTGCTAGAGCACGAGCACACGTGCGTGCAAAATTTCGGGAAGGACCCGAGAGCTGGCGTCTTGGCAAACCCACTGGAGAACACGCGAACAGATCTGCGAGTGGGGATCTCCAAATGATATTTTCAATTTCGGGGGATTTTCCTTATTGTCTTCATACAGTTTTCAGTTGATTCGTCTCAGCTTTCCATTTATTCAGATGGTGTTCATGTGAAATCTTTTGTTTTTTGGTGGGAGATGACGGCCGATCGTCGTCTGTGCTCGGTCTTTTGGCATTAAAGTCTTTATGAGTGTCATGGTTAGCTTTAGCTTTGTGTTCCAGTGTGCGTTGCTGGTGCTGCTGTAGCTGTTGTAATTGTTGTTGATGGAGAATATGTTCCTCATCACCCTCCTCTTCCTCCTCCTCTTCTTCCTCCTCTTCATCTTCGTCGTCCGAAGCACCAGGGGGTTTGCCTGGAGACGGGGCGGTGTCACCTTCTTCCGCCTTCATACGTTTGTACTTTGTGCGCCTGTTCTGGAACCACACTTTGACCTAGAGGAAAAAAATAATGGCCCTCTTAATACAAGTTCAAATAACTATCATTATTTATCCCAAACTTTGTTTGTTCGTAAAATAATGTACACTAACGACTAGCCTAACAATAAAGATAAGATAAGAAATATCACATTTTTTATTTCAAACATTTAAATATTCTGACAGGATCATGAAAAAGAAAAATGTAATGTAAGGATTTACAACAAGAATGGCGCGTGGTTAATTGCCTATAATAGTTTTGAAAACTCTATGCCCTTCATCTCGATCGCAGGCTATTAATGAATTGTTCAACTCCACTGAAAGACAATTACAAGCTAAAAAACAATGGACAGGAATTCAAGACAACTTCGGAAGTTGTCCCAAATAACTAAAGGTATCAAACTACCTGGCCTCAAGCCTCAGTAGTAGATGTCAGGTGCGTATTAATTGACATAAAACTGAAATTACGGTGTAATGAAGGAGCAGATGAAAGAGGAATATTCGGAGTTTCTCTTTTGAAGTTGCATAATGACGAGTCTAATGGCGTGTGAAGCCTCTGCGGCTATGTACCGTGCGGCACTTTGTTTTATTCGGTCTCCTTACTGTGAGAAAAAAAAGCAAACCCTATTTCAACGCAAATACATGCACCATGCTTGTTTTTTGGTTGTGTTTTCATATCATGGGTAAAAAACTTTTTTATTTCTGCCTTTTTTCGTTCCTTTCCCAGCAAATACCAAACCATGACTTTGCAGACTGAATACACGGCAATAGCAAAGGTAAGGCCTCATCATTATTTTAATTTTTCATTCAAAAAGATTTCGTTTAACGGAAACATTTAATGGAAGGCAGGTTAAAATGAAAACTATACTAAAATATTTAATGTAAGATCTTAATTTAAAAGATTGAAAACAGTGGCTTTAATTTGTCGTATTCCATGCTGTTCGGTAGAATGTTTTCTAATATTCAGTTGCAACAGCACGCATGCAGGCTTGCTGAGCCAGCTAAATACCACTTTTTTATTCAGTAATTAGGACACATTTTGTCGTACCCTCACTGTATGTTTGCTATATGTATTATTAAGCTTCATATAACGGCAATAATTGCCTTTGATGCCAAGAAAAAAATAAAATCACTTTGATGTGAGTTTTATTTACCCGTTTGTCGTAAAATTCAAACGTCCCGATTTGTACAGAATAAATTTGTTGTTCGTGTGGTTCATTGCATTTTTTTCTCAGTCTGTCAGTTATTGAATCAACAAAGTCGTCTCAATATCGGCCGTTGATTGAAACAAAAGTCATTCGGTCAACGCAAGTAACCGACACTCCTGCCGCAACACGCTAATGGGAGACGGTCGGACTTGCAAATGAACGTTTCAATTCACTCACTTTATTTCGAAAGTCGTCTGTTTAGCGGTATTTAAATATAATCTACATTCTAACAGCTGCAATTACACGAAGAGACCAACAGTGAATTGAATAGTTAAATAGGCGACACCATGCGATGCGGGTATTTGGCCTGTCTTTCGTGCTTATTCGTCTCTTTTATCGCGTTAAAACAGTGATGTTTTAATGACAACAGTCCTTTTTATTCCGATGAGTTATTACGCCGTTGCATGTATAGGCTAGCCTTCGTATCTTGAAACAGTTTGAAACCAAATAGAGTTCATCCATCGTGAGAACGCTATTGAATACAGACAACTGTCATCGCACTAGAAGCTAAATGATTTCTAAATAACAATATACATTGTTTGAAAACTAAAACCAAATATAGTTGATGACTGCAATATGTTCACGAGCTGTTCGCGGTGAAAGCCTATCAAGAGCTCTACCAGTACTCTTGAGAATAGGGAAATAAATACAGCGATAAAAAACAAGTAAATAATGACCATATTTCACAGAGTAGTAAAAACATCGACTAATGAAAAAGAAGTAGGTATTTAACAAAATAACACGTCGGCTGATTTTATTTAAAAATTCAAATTGCGAAAGTGAAACCGTAAGTCAAAGCTAAACCGTTCTCCATTTGAATAGTCAACGACACAAAACTGAATGTGGAAAATAAGAGACAAATGTACCCATGACTTCCACTTAAGATGAGAATCTATTTTTGCGTGCTAAATCATCATCATCAGGAAAAAAATCCAGCTGTTGCGAATTTTTTTC